CTGGTAGTTGATTCGATTGAAGCTGTGTAGACTCATCAAAGACACCGCTGACCCTGTGTCTACTAGGCACTTAACAGGAGCTCCACACAGCTCAACGACAGCCACTATCTTCTGAGCAGATTCAGCTCTCTTAGGATCTTCCACCGCTCGACCCCTGGCATCAAGGAAACATACTGGGTGGATCCCTGGAGCATCTCCACTCTTCTTTGGTTTAGGACAATCAATGGAGAGGTGGCCTGGCTCTGAGCAATTATAGCAGGTGACTAGAGGACATCTTCTCACAATGTGCCCTTCCTCTCCACATCTTCTACAAGTAATAGTTCGAGGAGCTCGGGGTTCTCTTTGCTCTTTGAAGAGCTGTAACGCATCATCTATCTCCTTCATCATCTCCGCCTTCATATCCTCCATCATCTTGAAAAGCTTTTCCTCCACAGGGTCGCTAGTCACAACTGAGATGTGATGGTTCAATTGTTTTGGCTTGAGTCCCCTTCGGATACGTTCCGACTCTTGGTAAGCTTCCTCCTTCTGGGCTTCTTCAATTGCCTGGTCGAGAGATTTTGGATCCCTACGATGGACTGCGGCTCTCACTTCATCATCGGTGATAGCATTTTCGAAGCTCCGTCTTGCCAATCTATCCTGAGAGGAACGGGGCATCTCCGGAAAGGCCAAGGCAGCTAACCTCCTAATACTTTGCCCCAAACTCTGTAAGGACTCCTTCGGCTTCCGGACTCTAGTGTTAAGCTCGGCTTCGTACATAGAGGCTTTGTCCCCTGGTCCAAATCTTTTGGTTAAGGCCTCTAAAAGATCACCATAAGTGTGTCCTTCTTCTAACTCTTGGACCAGCTGCTGAGCATCACCCCTCAATTGGTTGGTGAGATTCTGCCTCTTTTCCTCGTCATTCCATCTATTGCTTTCAATACAATTCTGGAAGTGGGCTTTGTAGTCAAGCCAGGGAGTTTTGCCATCAAATAGTTGGGTTGGCTTGATTTTAGTCTTCCTTCCCTGCTGCGCTGACTCCAAGGCCTTCCCACACATATCCATAGCTTTCTCAGCTAGTTTCACCATTGCCTGCTCATGGTTACTATTGGAGCTCTCTGCTCTCCTTTCCTCAGCTGTAGGATGAGCCCTAAGGCTCTCCGGAGGAACTTCCACTCTATGGGATGTGGTTGGTTCTTGTTGAAGTCCCCCAGTGGTAGCCCTTCTATGAGTATTGGACACATTGAGCTTCTCTGGCTCTGCTTCGACATAAGGCTCTGGAGGTAATCTGGCTCCTTGTTGACTCCATTGACCAGTAAGTGGTTCCTCTCCAGACATGCGAGGGAGCTGGTTTGGATCCAACCTTGTGAGCTGAGGAGCCTCATGTCCTCTTGTCTTTGGAGACAGAGCACTTCTATCTCGCTGCAAATCAACATCTCGACTCCATCTAGTTATGGAATGTGGATCAACCTCAGCGGCAGGCATTCTCTGCTTGTACCCAAACTCATCTGTTAAACCACCACTATTACTCTTCTGAAATTCTCTGTTGGGCTCTAGCGGCATTGTCGCTTCTGGGAACAATCTCGACTCTTCATCTTGTGACCATCTAGGTTGCTGCATTTGGACATCTGGTTCCAGATGGAATCTTGGGGAATAAGGAGGCATCCCTGCTCGGTTAAACATCTCTCTTGGACTTCTTTCAGGTTGAGTCAGAAGAGCTGATCTCGGATCGCCTACCATCTCAACCCTAGAGGGATTCACCATCCGGGACACCGGTGGAGGAGCTTGGCTCATCTGCCCTAGGGTAGCATTCATCTCTTTCAAGAAAGCCTCCATTCCTTCTCTGCTCTTCTTAGCCTCCTCTTGACCTTGGTTCACCACGTTCGCCAGTTTACCGAGTTCAACATGGAGACTGACCATCTCTTCAGATTGAACTTGCAGCCTTCTCCCAACATCTGATCTGAGCGTTCCAAGGCTCCCCTGTATAGCCATAACCTGGGATTGTGTGGAGTCCAACTGTCTCTCGAGGAGTATTTGTTCATCCTTCTGCCTCTCTGGTATCAGTGTGGAGGTAAGAGGATACTGCCCTCTATGTCTCAGCCTCGCTCCCTCTCCGAATTCTCTTCCAAGGCCAGGGGGTGTACGAACATCTCTCTGGAGCTGAGTTGAAGACCAGTACCCAGTAGTCCCTTCAAGACCAGGATGCATCCTCATCTGCCTCTCTGTGGGTAGTTGTTGGAATCTTCTCTCTGGAGTCCGCTCAGCTCTGGGGTCATCTGGATCCAAAGGAATTGTGTCATCACCTGCATGCACATAAGGAGCCAACCCGTCTCCTTTGAAGAGCACTGTAGACTCCAATTGAAACTTGTCGACTGGTGGGGTTGTCCTCACTGCTTCCTCTTGTTCCCTTTTTCCCCGAGAGCCAGTCATCATCATCTCAGTGAGCTTGGAGTTCTCTTGACCCCTTTTCTCTGGGGTACGCTCCAACTTCTGTGACATCTCAGCCATCTTTTAAAGACAACAGATCCCACCGCTGCCACCAATGTCGCGCCTGGGCCGATTCGCCGAGCACCCTGTATACTGGGGAAAGGCCTGGGACGACGAAAAGGGATCTTTGGAGGTGTTTCAAGGGTGTCGACCTGGTTTGGTGGTACGACAGTTACCAATAGAAGATGGCTCCACAAAACAATTATGTACAGGGTTTTTATAATCTATTCTAACATAAGTTTTTACAATATAATAACAAAATGTCCATATAATATACAAGTTTCTCTTCAAGAGTCGTCTCTGCTCTGGAGCTTGTTTAACACTAAGAGTCACTGCGTCTCTCTATGTTCTCCTCCTGTAGTTTGTTCAGCTCTAGGAGTCACTACGTCTCTTAATCTTCTGTATGGAGTTTGTTCAGCTTAAGGAGCAACCTCAGCTCCGGGAGTCACTTCGTCTCTGGGGAAACCACGCAAACTCTCTCTCTTGGAAGAGTACCAGCCTCTAGAGCACTCTCTGCTTGGGAGTCGCCACTTCTCGATAAAAACCTCTGCTCTTGAACGATTCACACGCTCGGAGTATCTCAGCTCGGAGTCGTCTCGTCTCAAGAGAAATCAAATACACAGTCTCTTGGAAGGGGTCCAGGCTCTGGAGCAACCTCTGCTCGGGAGTCGCCACTTCTCGATAAAAACCTCTGCTCTTGAACGATTCACACGCTCGGAGTATCTTAGCTCGGAGTCGTCTCGTCTCAAGAGAAATCAACGCAAACTCTGTGTCTCTTGGAGCACCTCAGTTCCGGTGGAGTAACCTTGGCTCCAATGGAATAAACCTTGCAACACAGAAATACCTTGGTTCCGGTAGTGTAACCTCAGTATCTAACTTCTGGAGGAGTCAAATCACCTCGGAGGGTACGTCAAGTTCAGCAACTTGTATCAATTTCGGATCATCAATAACTCGGAGGAGGAGAAGAAGCAACTCACGAATATCGATCATTAAACTGAGATTAGACGGAGTTGTATTCTCAACCCTCGGAGCAGATTCCACTCTAGAATAGATGGAGGAGTAAGCACTCGGAGCAGTGAGTCCTCAAAGTAGGTATGGCTCTCAACTAGATGGAGGAGTAATCACTCGGAGCTGGCAATCCTCGGAGTAGGTATGGCTCTCAACTAGATGGAGGAGTAATCGCTCGGAGCTGGCAATCCTCGGAGCAGATACAACTCTCGAATATCAATCACAACGGAGATTAGACAGAGCTGTAACTACTCGGACCAAATATAACTCAGAGGAGATATAACACTTAAATAATTGGAGGAGTAATCACTCGGAGCTGGCAATTCTCGGAGTCAATGGAGGAGTAAGGACTCGGAGCAGTGAGTCCTCGGAGCAGATATGACTCTTGAATATCAATCAAACTGAGATTAGACAAGAGCCATAATTACTCGGAGTTGGCGATCCTCGGGGCAAATGGAGTAGTAATGACTCAGAGCTGACAGTCCTCAGAGCAGACACGACTCTCGAATATCAATCAACCTGAGATTAGACAAGAGTTGTACCTACTCAGAGAAGGAATCACTCCTTAAAATGGCGTCACTTCCGTAAAAAATAAAGATGGCCGACCGCAGGGAACTCTGGGAAGAAGAAATCAAAATGGCGGACGGCAATATGGCGTCAAACTCAATAATCAAATTGTCACTCACCAAAGAACTTTCTATTGTCTTGTCTTTTCCCCAATTGTCGCAACGCACGCAATTTACATCAAGCAATAGCAGCAAATAGTCAAATAATATCCAAATATAATCCACAGTTGTAATCAGCCACGCTCGCACATAAAATGCCCCAAACTGACGAGGTCCTGCTTGTACAAAATCTTGGTAAGCTCTGATTTACAGGTCACGATCTCACGCTAAAGTCCAGACATCTCAGGTTGCATTATGGGAAAATACAACTTAAGTTGGCGGTAAATTCAAATGAAGCAATCTGATTGGTTGAGCTCTGTTGCTGAGTGACTAATTATTCTAATTTATTCCACTACAGTCTGCTGATCAAGTAAACATCCAAGTGCCTATGTGAGATTCTGCACGTAGACACTTTACAATACAATTCTTTAATTACAGTGGACAGAACATGAAATAAAGATGAAATAACACAAAATCCTGTAAAATAAACGTATCACAAGCCCTAGTACTACTCAGGGGGAATTAAAAATTCCCACAATATTGTTCCACGTTATAGAATGAATTTTTTTGTTTAAACATAGTTAAAGGACACTAATGCAGATTTAGAGCATATTTCTGGCATTTTTGTTATTTAATGCCGATAAATATGAACTATGATGGCACGATCGCCAAAATAGATATGTGGGTATGAAAAAGAATGTTTTAGGTAGAAGTTAGTGTATGTTTTTTTCTAAACGATTGAATTATATTACCTTTTTGAGCCATTCTGATGAATGTCTCAACTCATTCTCCTACGAAATGAGTCCAAATGGTTATGAAAAACAAGTCCGGAACGATTTACGTTGGGTAGTATCGGAGACCGTGTAAAGGATATCTCACAAAGAACAAGAAATAACGTCACAACACATAAGGATCACAGTGGATTTGAACCCATGGGTTTGAACCATCGTTGGGTCACCATAGAACATGTTACGGAATATAAAGAATATTCTGTTCTTTTAGCGATCATATCATGGATTCTTAGAGTATTGCAATCTCACATTAACATGCACATGCAGCAGACCTATTTAAGTATGCGGTCGCTCAATGATCATTGGCGGGTCACATTAACTACAGGATCCGTGAATGGAATATAATAGCTTGGAGGAACACAGGTGTCAAAGACATCATTTTCCCGTGAAAAAAATCTCAAAAATAAAAAGCTGAAAAATTAAAAATAACGGAAATGACTTAAGAAACAAAATTTCGAATTCAATAAAACGCCGTGAGGCTGTTTTACAGTCTTTCAAATATAGAATACGGCTCTCTGCGGTTCTTACAACGCCGTATTCATAATAAACAGAGGTTTGTTTTACCATCAGTCCCGCCATCAATCATAATCAAAATTGTCATTTGACAGAAATCGTAATAAAACACAGTTGCATCTAAACAGAGGTCGTTAAAATATAAATCTAATTAATACATGGCATTTTGATTTCTATCCCTTACTCTCTATTGCACATTGGGAATACATAGAAATCTAGGTTTTATGTTTAGCTAGAAAACCACATTTGGGTGCTATGTTTATTCGATTCTCGATCATCCAGCGTGATATCAACCTAACCCAGCATACATCGGAACTTTCATTTCATTCTACAGCGAGCACCTGGACCTCAATCACACCCTGAATTAAAGGTAGACTCTAATATGCATAGCTGTTATTCATAAATATGGAATATTGGCCACTTCACTACTATAAGTGTATGGAGTCCTAACAAGAGCAACGCAGGCGGCGTGGCCAGGGTACAAAAATAGGCGAAAACATTAAAATTTACGAGGCAAAAGAGGATACTTCTAAATGACAGACTTTACAGTTTTAGTAAAAAAATCGGCACGAAATAGTTTTTTGGAAAGTTTTGACGCACAGTTATACATGCATGTGTACTTGATGGTGATGATGCGAATGCGTTTATACTATCAAATCCCAAAATAGAAAAGTATACTCAAAATAAAGAAAATGTGTTTAGTAGAACTTTAAGAAAAAGTTCAGAGGATTAAGATGGATTAATTCTAGGGAAATCAAATTAGTTTGTTTTAGTTAATTTCCTTACGCATGCTGGTCTAGTTTACATTGGCACCCTAGAATGTTGAGCCTAAAGTAATCTAACCGAAAATAAATCAATATGGATTAGATCTTGTTTTCCAAATCTATCAACATCGATTCGGGTATCAGGACACTACCTGGGTAGTAGGTGTACCTTGTAGTGATAAATCCGGCTGTGGATGAAGAAAACCGATTATTCAAACCCGCTAGCACCCTTTCAAGTTGTTAACTTGTTGAAGTTTAACGGATACTCAATCAGATCGAGAATAATGTATTGACAATAACAGGGGACGACACCATCTGTTTATAAGTAGCAAACTTATACTTCAAGTCTAAAATACCATTTATTTTCGATTTATCAACATTCTAAAATCACCTGGAATAATAAGAGGATGATGTGATAAGCCGATTATGGATCAGGGTACGTCGGAAGGAACTTACTAGTGAAGGTGTACTCAGCACCGAGTAACGGACGTGGTCATGGTCTGTGGTCAAAATATGTGGTCAGGGATACGCTGAAGAACAGCCGCAGGATCTTTCCTCTTTTTCCCAAGGAAGCTTATCTAAAGAAAAAAAACTATATGCATTGTATACGTAAGCGTTAATGGACATGATGTGGGGGCATCTCCGGGGACGTCGATATAGCAGTTGCTAAAGTACGTCAGATTGGCCAGGAATGGGGTACTTCATCAAACTGTAAATGGAGGCTTATATCGACGTTTCAGTGATGCTTAATTAGTAATGTAAAGTAGCTACAAATAAAAAAAAAGTTTCAAAAGAGTGAGTTATACATGTAGTTGTCAGTGCATGGCAGTACCGTATTGTCATCATCAGTTAAATATAGGAGTTTGAGGGATGAACAAGATACATACACAGCTATGGCTCTTTCCTTAGATTAAGCCGTTATGTTAAACGCAAATGTTTTTAATTATGAATTAGTGGTAATTGGAAGATTACGAATATAAAAGACCGATTCACACTGGCAATTAGTTCGATTATTAGCTGTAACATCATGACGATCTCCTTGAGAAATGTCAGCGCTTGTCGAAGACTGAATCTGAAAAAATCGTGGATTTTCTTAGTGTCGTTATCAGTTGTGTATTACGTCACAAGGACTTGGACAGAATCGGTTGTTCAGGAAAGGAGACCAAGATTAAGACATTTGCAAATTGCTCAGGATGATACATCGTTACGATATGTCGAAAACAGAAAAAATAAAGTTTCAGCACAACCTAGAGACGCCATGCAGCATATTCGCAATGGTAAGTTATCACGATATAAACATAATTTGCTTTTTGTCATTATCGGTTCAAATTTCTTCTGTGTCAGCCAATGCAATGTTATCCAAAATTGAACGTTTGGCCCTCATATGTCTCTGTCACACGTTTGTGATTCAATTGATGATTTGCGATCACCGAATGGATTCTATCTTGTAGTGACGTCACAATTAGGCCACCCAGCTCTAGATGTTTGATTTTGAGAGATTATCTTTTATATTTCGTGCTTTATTGATTTATTTTTCATGAAACCATTCTATTTGACTAGATCAACATCCATGCTAAGCACATACCAAGTCTAAGATCTTACTGACATGATTTAGATAGCGGTTAAGCCCCCCCCCGATTTTGACAAATACGGGGGGCGCTTATAGGCATCGATGTTTAGTATGAATTTCACCAAAACTTCGCACATATATAGAAATAATCATGATCTAGTCAAATCGGCATATCTGGTAAATATCCGACCCATGGTTTTCATAAAAGAAACGACAATATTTTTTGCTCAAAACTGCCAAGTGTCCGCCATTTCGTGATTCCATCATGTCTAATATCATTTCTATATGACGTCACACCAATAAGACGAAATACACGACAACAGTATCCATAAACAAAATTCCTGAATTCTGATCGCAAAAGGTCAATTGAGCACCAAACTAATAGAATACGCCGATTTAACACTTTACCGGGACAAAAGATGTACATAAGTTTGAGCATCTCGCGATCGCCTAAGGCCGGTCATGTATTACGTTATGGTATATAAACTTGTAACATGTTGCACGAAATTATGGAAAGTCACGAAAATGAGCAAAACGTATCGTTACAGTTAATTTAGGCATGTATTGACAGCCGTTGTCGATTGTAGCCATTTAGCATGCTACCCTGTGCACCGAAGCGATGTCCCGTACCTGCTATATGATATTGATACTACGGAGTATAATTGCATCGAGCCCCTTTAACGCCCCCAAGACTGATGCGCGTGAGATTTTGATAAGTATATATGCTATTTTGTCATATGATGCAATGCCCTTCCAATGGATTGGTTTTAATTTGTTACTTTAAAAGATAGTTTCATATGCAATGACACTCGAGGTAATATGATAACTTGGATAAAAATAAACGTGGATTGTAAATGTTTATAGACAATTGATTCTGATCATTTATTTGAATAGCTATTCTTAGAAGTAGATAACCCCGTCCAAATGTCAGGCAATCCCCGTCCAGAGCGTGTTTAAGTCTGTTTAATTTCCGAAAGGCGGTCTCTAATTATAAAGAATCATTGTTCATACATTTACGGCCTATTGATACAAAATGCTGACATAATCGGAGTTTAACACGCTATTCAATGGAGAGTTTGGCTTGCCAACGTTTGGGGAGGGGTATATGTACGAGTTAACACAGCTACTGAGTTGTAGAAAGTGAACTTATAAGCGTGTGAAATGAAATAAATAACTATTATAAAAACACTTTAATGGGGTGATATACGTGATGAATTAAATATGCACGCATTCCTGCTGCCATATGGGAACCACCTGTACCTCTCCCTACTCCTCTCCATAAGCTTGGCAACCGGGACTGACATGTAATGATATACACTCCTCTCCATAAGCTTGGCAACCTTGACTCACATGTAATGATATACACTCCCCCCTATGAGCTTGGCAACTGGGACTCACATGAAATGATGTGCACTCCCCTCCGTAAGCTTGGCAACCGGGACACGCATGCAATGGTATACACTCCTCTCCGTAAGCTTGGCAAACCGGGACTCGCATGCAATGGTATACCCTCCCCTCCATGAGCTTGGCAACCGGGACTCACATGAAATGATGTACACTCCCCTCCGTAAGCTTGGCAACCGGGACACGCATGCAATGGTATACACTCCTCTCCGTAAGCTTGGCAAACCGGGACTCGCATGCAATGGTATACACTCCCCTTCATAAGCTTGGCAACCGGGACTCGCATGCAATGGTATACACTCCCCTTCATAAGCTTGGCAACCGGGACTCGCATGCAATGGTATACACTCCCTCTCCGTAAGCTTGGCAACCGGGACTCGCATGCAATGGTATACACTCCCCTTCATAAGCTTGGCAACCGGGACTCACATGCAATGGTATACACTCCCCTTCATAAGCTTGGCAACCGGGACTCGCTCGCATGCAATGGTATACACTCCTCTTCATAAGCTTGGCAACCGGGACTCGCATGCAATGGTATACACTCCCCTTCATAAGCTTGGCAACCGGTACTCGCATGCAATGGTATACACTCCCCTTTATAAGCTTGGCAACCGGGACTCGCATGCAATGGTATACACTCCCCTTCATAAGCTTGGCAACCGGGACTCGCATGCAATGGTATACACTCCCCTCCGTAAGCTTGGCAACCGGGACTCGCATGCAATGATATACACTCCCCTCCGTAAGCTTGGCAACCGGGACTCGCATGCAATGGTATACACTCCCCTTCGTAAGCTTAGCAACCGGGACTCGCATGCAATGGTATACACTCCCCTTCGTAAGCTTGGCAACCGGGACTCTCATGCAATGATATACACTCCCCTTCGTAAGCTTGGCAACCAGGAGTCAGGAGTCTTCGATCATCTGGTAGCGTCGGCGTGTTATTAAGCCCATTAGTATTCATATCTTTATTATTTCCTTCATTACACAAGATAAGACTTCAAATGATGATGTTTAATCGCCAGACAGTTTTAAGACGCGACTCAGGGCTTGGCAAACTAATGTGTGCGTGTGTGTGGGGGGTGGGGTGGGGTGTGAGACTGCGTGAAAACATAAGTTCTGACTCAGGCTCGTAGCCAGGATTCGCCAAGGGGGGGGGGGGGTCACTTTTTAAAAGATTCGAGGGGGTTCATTTTTGACAACTTTGGGATATACCGTTCCTACATTTCTCTTTTTTATTATAATATGTAATCCATTTCATTATGATACTAATCTTATTTTATTTAAGACTTATTTTTTTAAATTCCCTCGTAACTTTTCAGAAAAAATATATTATTAAGAATTAAGGCTAATAACGCGTACTGTTTCCGATGAAATTATTTCACTCCTGTATATCCCGCCTCTATATAGTATTGTTTTGTATAATATGCTACATCTTAACTAAATACACGGGGTGTAACAATACATTGCTTTGTTCTATAATAGTTATGGGGCATCATAAAAAGAACAAACATGCCTACATGTTTGATATGTGTGTATTGTATGATAATGGTACATGTAAATACTTTTATACATGTGTATCTCATATAATTTTGATACTCCTGTAAACCAGCTATAGTCTTTTTATTAATTACACTTTTTTGATACTTAAACAGGCAATGCGCCTATTTTTGAAGGAAAAAGGACAAAATATTATTTGAGACATGACACTCACACAGTCTATCAAATATGATAAAAACTTTAATTTGGGATAATACTGAAGTGAAAAAAAATTATTCGCATAGAAAACGGCATATGAAGTTCAGAGATTGAAAAAAGTGAATTACCACTTTTCACAAAATGTATGTTTTAAATAACTCTTGGATTAAAAGATGGCGTATGCTTGAAAATCCTTTCAAAAATGAATGGATAATCAATGCAAACAACAATGCCATCTTTCTATGGCATTTCTAAAAACTTGACACATATAAATTGATAGATCAAAAATATTTTTTCATGATCTAGTGTCAAGTCTGATGTGGTCTGTTTGAGCTATTTTTGGTGTCAAATGAAAGATCAGGTACTTATTTATCCATTGGAAATACTATGAAGATCAAAAGTGAGACTTCATTTCAGCACGTTGTCCCTTTAATGGATTATACGTTTATATGTATATATTTATATGTTCATGTTTGTTGTCAGTATTTGCTATGTATTCTTTGTGTATATAACTTATCTAAATAAATAAAAGCGATAAATGAATAAAAGCCTTAATGTTATGAATTACCAAAGCATTTCATCGATTTTTCATGACTAGACTATGATCATGAAACAATATTTAAGCCGAGGAAATCAATCGAATAAATGTAACAAACTGTAAGGCACATATCGATATGAGGAGCAAAAGGGATAATTTAATCTGGTGATAGAGAGATTTCGCATAGCGTGTTTATAAATCCCTTATATTATATCTAATTTAGAGAATATTTTGAAACATAACAAGTATGAAAATTGTAGGCCTATTAACCCTTTCCCGACGTGAATATAAGAGGAAAATGTTGTCCCCAGTGACGGATAAGTAAGAGCGTTTTTTAGGGGAAAACTGCAAAATACCTATGCCTTGGGACCTATACCTTGGATTTCATCACTGATATACAATTTTTAGTAAGGATTATCACATAAGAACAACTTGTCAAAATTTGGTGTAAAAATACTGAATAGAACTGGAGATATTGTCATTTCATTGATGTATATAAATAAAAATAATGGTGCCAAAAGGAACCTATCGTCCTGAAAGGTATTACATAATAGGGCTCCATATGGAGCCTATTGTCGTGAAAGGGTTAAACAAAGACGAATTGTAATTTCATCATCATGCTCTCAGTCGACAACGTAAAATAAGTAACAACAAGTCGATTCAGAATCAAAACTATGGAAAATGGAAATAAAGTCATTGTTATGCCTTATGTCCAATTGAGAATATCTGTCCAATACAGTAATAATAAATAGGGTTTTTATTTGTTATCTTTGTGCCCCGTATTATTTGGTTGTTTGACTATAACGAGGTCCATATGTATATTGGAAGGATCCCTTTTAATGTTTACATAAAAGCCGCCTTGCTCTATCTCTCATGTTCTCTGCCTCGAATACATTCCTTAAAGAGGAAAACTTCAGTTAATTGCTACACCCGGGTGTCTTATGTAACATGTGAAATGCCTACTAGATAGCAAACAGCCAATCAGCTGTCAGCAGAGGATGTGGCTTAGCAGTAGTAGGGTCATTTATAAACACAAGCACAAGGCATTTTGCTGCTATGTTTACATGTTTTAACCTTTGACCTGAGAGCATTGCAGACTATTGGTCAATTTGAAATTAAATCCACATCCAACTGCTCATATTTAATGAGACCTTTAAAATATTTATTTTCAAGTTTGCTTGAAATATACTGAATAATACTTGAATATGATTTCATATTTGTATTCATTATGGTTTCATACATGACTGTAGCAATTTTGGGTCTTTGATACTTCCTAGAATTCATGATATTGGCAAAATCAAAATAAATTTACTGGTTTCAGTGATTCAAACATTTTCAACTGACATAATTGACTGTAATTGGCTGTTCTATCTTCCTTTTATACCCGGTTTTCCCCTTTAAATATGGGTTTATTCCTCATGACAATATGCTATTTCCCTCTGGCCCTCCCTATGTAATGTTGGAAATTGTCTCTAGTTTATGTATGCTAAATGTATTAACAAATATAGGGGTCAAAGTTATCATCAAAAACTTGGGGTACTATATATCATTTTCTTAGGGAATTACGTGCGATAGTCCTCTTTTTGAATGGGTTTTATTTATGTTTTAGGGGACCATAGAGAAGCAGTTGAATCCAAATCCTACCCGCATTTACAGCTCATTTCGGAGACAGTCGAGAAGATGAACGCTTATGGACCCGTACCAAGCGAGTAAGTGCAACTAAAGTACAAAAACAATCAAAAATAGTGCCTAAGAAACATACGTCAATATGTCAACACTCTTTAGTTTGCATTTTGACTGGGCCATCTCTTTTCTATATTGGTATTCGTTACCAAGTATTAATTTAGACGACGCAAAATGTATATCTTGCGAGTAGCAACCTGCGCATTTAGATTCTTTATCACACTCCGAACGGCTAAACAGAAAAGACGGATTAAATCCTCATTGGAACCGACGTTTCGCTTCTGGGAACCACATGTTTCCCGGACTCCTAATTGGCTTATACCGGGTATACTACCTCAAAGCTAAAGATGAGTCGAAAACCAGCAGGGGTTGGTCTAAAGGTTGTCTTTTTGTATTAACACATGATAATCTTACTATGCTATCTTGTTTTCCATCTTGAAAGCTAAGCCTATATAGTACTTAATTACGACTAGACTTCGATTCTTCCATGTCGATCTTTATTCACATAAAAGTAATATTCAAATGTTGTCCAACTTATCTTAATTCCGTTTGGCAAAACATAATGAGATAAATAGTAGTTCCCAAATTGTGTTTGTTTTTGTTGACCCTTGTGTTCTCAAAAAAGTATTTAAACAAATACAGTTTATTTTTACTCTGGTTGATACGGTTTTGAATAGCCTTTATTTTTCCTTTATGGGAGGGGGGGGGTGGCTAATGGGAGGGGGGGGGGTGGCTACTGTCCTAATGATGGCTGAGTCAGGAATAAAAAGGGAAAATACATTATGGACACATTTGAACTAAAACTTCAAGTTTAATTGGTTCCGTTAAACATTTTTCTGACGCATCGAAATACCCCATATGCTTTCTTCAAGTTAACGATCTTCAAATAATTACTTTAAACTGGATAAACAGAAGACAATCATTTCCGCTAGCTTGCGTCTGGCTCGGTCTTATAGATACCATATTGTTGAACATCTCTACACCGGAAGTGTGAGATAATTATCTTCATTGTGTATAGATACTAAGAACAACATGCCAGGTGATATGTCCACAGCGTGCCCTTTGGACCCTTGCAAATAAAGTTAATGCCTGTTCAGAGAACCCTAGATGGTACCTGTTTAGCTAGCCCGTTTTGAGATTATGATTTTTCTGTTTATTTTGCATACATGTATTTTTTAAATATTTATAAAAAAAATAAAAAAAGCCTTGTCTTTTGTTGCAATTTTTTCAAAGTGATTTTTTCAAACAGAGGCTAACCTGTACGAGCGAGCTTAAGCGATAAGGAAACATGCAATGGCATGAGCAATACACGAATTCTTATTCCGAACGATGTCAGATTCTGTGATATGCGTAAATCATCAAGTGATGAATTCATTTCAAAGTTGCAATCACTGTTTCCCGAAGATATATATTGAAAACGAAGTGGATATTGAATCGGTTGTTAATGTGGCGCGGATCTGTAATTGTTCAAATAAAACTGATACTTGCATCATTCTCCATCAACTTTCCCTCGATTTATACTGGACACACAGAATAACGACTGCTCTCATATTGCTAGATTTAATATTTGAGAACTGAATTGTTTGCAAACACATAGACACAGATACCCCATTAGGCAGGCATTCTGCCGAAACTGGCATTGAAAAAAAGAACACACGAGTTCCTTTTCAAAGAGAGAGGTACTGAGTCATTGGGTTACTTTGCAAGGGATGCTAGTTAAACTTGTTGAAAGAATGATGACATAAAAACTCGCCTTGCATGTAATGGTGTGCAGATCAGATTAACATATGTTTTTCTCGGTTTATTCTGATCAAAGAATATTTATCATCCGAAGATTGATGGTATAGTCCAACTTCCTGGTCCCTCCCAATTTGAAGAATGTATTAAATTCAGAACTACGATGTGCTTAGCGTATATTCGCGAATGCAACTTCGCCTGTCGGCTACCGGATCAACATACTATCTTATTTCATGGGCAACTCATTTGATATGAATAGTACCCGTCACTACTCCATTCATTTAAATGAATGGGTCATAAAATACTAGGTTAATCCGATAGCCGACAGCCGAAGGTTTAAATTACGAAACAGATAAAGATACACTTCCTTTACTTGACCATTCGTATTCGATGCAATCAAGGATATCATGCAAACAATAGGATAGGGTATGTTTAAGGGAAGAAATAGGATCCATTTTCAAAAACGTCTTACATGTAAAAGATTGATGCCTACAACGTGACATTATACATCTGGCCAATACACCCTTTGATAAAAGGCTTATTCATTGCCGTTGTTATTTAAAGAGGGGCATAATAATAAATAGTAGGTACGTAGATTGATGAAACGGCCAAGATAACAGAATTTTTGATATTTTCACAAATCTTGTCAGTTTTATGTTGGGTGACAAAAACGCATTGCTAATAATTTTCTCGTGGTTCTGTTAATTTTACTATCTTCTAACTCTCAATGCTGGTTCATTAACATTTCGTCTCAAGTTAATGCCTCATTAGCAGTACCCCCCCCCCCCATTACAGTAGCACGCCCTCTGAACAGTTCTTGGTGGTGACATATTCCGTACAAACCACCTCATGGTTTTTAACTTATAATCAGGATGCCTTTTTTATCATAAACTGTTGCATACGAACTCCCTAATATCTCTCTTAAAACGTTAATATCTCTCTTAAAACGTCCAAGAGATATATTAGCTATAGCCTTCTGCGATAGACTAGACATCTATATGTAGACATGAATTGTTTGTAATCTTGCGCATTTATTGTTGGATCCAGTCAATGTTATGTCTCCCAGACAAGTGAATTATTGAACTAGAGGGTTTTAGCTCAGGGTTAAATGTTTCATATTGAAATTTCTGCAACGACTGAAGTTCAAGATCAGATATGTATCTACGGCTGTTACACACGCAGATATCTTATAAATCATATAAATCTATCTTATAAATCATATAAATCGTTTGGCGCTTCATATATATCAGGTGTCCCAAAAAATGAGCCACTTTTTGACAAGTATTTTCTCGGCAACTGATAAACCAAATTCACTGAAAATTTTAATATTCAAAATCCGATTCATTCTCAAACTCATTGGAGGTGATATTGTTAGAATACGGAAACATATTTTTGCTTGGAAATGAATTAATAAGTGACTTTTACATTTGTATTGCTTATTTTGACACACTGTCTTTAATTCTAAAATACACACATACTTTGAGACCAATCTCTTACATATTCATATGGTACTAGCAGAAGATACCCTCAAGTGCCTCGGGTAAAGTTTTCAAAGAATTTGGCTTTTCTATTACTGAAAAATTACTTGTCAAATTGCTTCTCATTTTTGGGTAGAAACGCTATAAAGTTCTCATTGCGTTGCTCTGGTATGGGCTATCATGACATTCTATCTTGAATTTCTTAGTTCTCACAGAACATTTACTTGATCTTTTTCATATTTTCATACCTTGCTACGGAAACTCTTGGGCTACTTTGTACAAATTGTCAAAAAGTGGCTCATTTTTTGAGACACCCGATATATACCGTAAAAATAAGCAATGCACATGTGTGCTGAAGTACTGTTGAATGGATATACCATGCATGTCTACCACTACATATATTATACTTCTTTCAGATGCTCAAACAAAACGTATGATCTCAACATTCTTCCAGTGACATCCGTAATCATAACATTTTGTGACAATGAGCGGCTGCTAGACATTCTGCATACGGTACACTCCATCATTCAGCGCACTCCAGAGCAGCTTATTCATGAGATCATCCTTGTGGATGACAATACACGTCGAGGTAATCACATACCCGTGATATTATGGAGGTTCAGTTTTTCAGGTTTACGTTTTTAGAGAACGTAACCGTGTAATATTTCGACTCCCGTAATTACTTTCCCGCTCTCTATCTATTTTCCCAGTGACCTAATTACAATTATTTTCCGTATGCATTTATACTCAATCGTCAAAGTAAACAATGTAAATGGGAGAAATATTCCATAGAGGACCATAATTCTACACGTTTACCTGCAAGTTAAACACATTTATCTTAACCTCCCTATTATAGGCTACACCCGTCCCTCGAAATATTATTCATACTGAATGGCAGCAAAGAATGTAGTGTGTAAAAAGTTTTTAAAATATGCCAATAAACCACTTACTATAAAATACACCAATCCTATATTCCTACAAATTTCATGTCAATTTATCCTTAGATGAGTTGAAATCTGTACTTCGGATCTACGGAGAGAACGTTTTCAACGGAAAGGTCTTAACGCTGAGAGCGAACACGACACTGGGGTTAATCCAAGCACGTGTGATGGGCGCCAAAGCCGCCTCTGGAGACGTTATTGTCTTCTTAGATGCTCACATGGAGGTTCAGAAGGGATGGTGGGTCATTTCATTTGTACATTAGAATATCATTTAACAAACATTTTCCTGAATAAAGATAATGAAAAAATGAATAATGATGGAGAATGGTAAACAATGAAAAACACGTGTTTAATAACAACATACGTTAAAGTACGAAATAAATGTGACGCACACTTACGCCGTTATCATATTGTTTACAACTTTCCATTTTAGGTTAGAACCGTTGGTAGCAGAAATTGCGAAAGATGATCACACTCTCGCAGCGGCCTATGTTGACTGGCTTGCCTGGAAAGGTATGTTTTTCTCTACTGTCATTTATACAAGTTCTGTTTCAAGGTTTACATTGTATATGTTTATATCGTATCAGACCAAGCGACTTAATGGTGGTATATGATTCATTGCTTTTAACGAGCCTGAGAAACATTTGTATTTGTAACTGTTTAAGAAATACACAATTCTCTCTACCTTGTTCCGCCATTTTGCTCTATAGCAACGAGGCGGACCAAAGTGAATTTGTCCTTTTTAAGCATTGTTGGAAAATAATTATGTAAATCGGTCAAGCCAAGTAACTTAGTCAACATTCGATATTCGTATGTTCATCAGTATTAACTAAGAATGGTGCCACAATTGAAGTAAACCTCTGTTTAATTATTTTCAATAAATCTATCAGCAAACGTGTAAATGATAAATTTGATGTTCTGTTACATATTGGTGAAGCAGTCTTTGGGATATGGCCGAAATTTCTGAATTTCCACTATGTCCCTGTATACCCCTACTTAAAAAGATGTATGTTATTTGTCATTTTTCATTATGAATCAACCATAAATGTATTTTTTCTTGTTTACATACAGAATGAACTTTTTGTTTCCAAATATTGAAAGATGGTACTGCATTTATTTTCTCATGATATGGAGGAAACAAATGCGTGTCAATTTACACTGTAATATCCCACATACTTATATTTCAAGGGTAGTTTTGAAGAATAATCAAGAAAATCCATGTTTTCTAATGAATTCATCCTTGTCAAAGAACGTAGATGAGGATATGCGGTTTGAAAAACTAACAACATGTTTTAAGTTCTTACAATTCTTGTTTAAAACAAACATTTCGAAAGTTGTGATTTCGAATGTAATATCCAACTCAATGAAATTTGTTGATATTTGTGAATTTTTTCTTTCGGAATGCACATTGCTGGATCACAGAACCTTGCCTTGTTCGAGATGCACAGAAAGGGTATTGTTAATACTTGACGTCGTTCGGATATTCGGATGTGATTGACGTTTTCGTTAATCTCCAACCACTGTAACTTCCAACTTAATTTTTGAAAGCCAAAAATGATAGTCATGAATCGATATTTAAGTCACACATGGATGCATACATCATGTGTCTACATTAACTGTCGAATACATGCCAACTTATATTTATTTAAATATACACAGTTAACTCAAATCATCAATTCTCGGAACGGTTTATCATATAACCTGACCTGAGTTTTATGTTTCATTTTAATTAATAATTATGGTATCGGATTTGAGTATGATTTTAGTTGAGGCTTAAACAAAGCAATAAAATTGCGTGAAACCTTTTGTGAAAATTCGAACGATTTTTCAAGAATCCTCCTTCAAAGTGTTACCACAGTGCTCCCCGGGAGTGGAAATTTCGTCTAGTGTAATCAAAATAATAGCGGGTGGTTTGAATTTTTGTTTGAGTTTATAGCTCAGCATCTATAAATTTAAAAACGTGTCGCCTCATTGAGAGGTACATGCAGCTTTTGGCGATCTATCTTTATAAAAGGCTAAATTTTGTGCAAAAACAGGAGTTGACACGCTTACATTTGGAATTGAAATTTCCGACATAATTGTCGACTCATGTTTAAAAGTCATGAAAACAAGGTTGAACACAAAATAATAACCTAGTTACTGTCTATTTAGCATGGGATCACTGAGGGAAATTTTATTAATGACTTAAATCGTTAACAGTTAAGTTGTATTCCAAGAAACTTATCAATTTAGAAATGCAAAATGTTCAATTTTGTTTTTCAATTATAAAAAATGGCACCTGTAGAGAACAACGTTTACAAAATTATTTAAAACGGAGATATTAACTTATGTAACATTCGTTGGCATGTGTCAGGGAGTAAATAAGAAGAATGTGCATTTGATTCTATATCTTGTTCCCAAAGGAGTTTGTTAAGGAGCGGTATTTCTTAACGTACTTTTATCATCCCGAACTCAAATATTTCGAATCCTTATTTCGACAACGCTTTGTTGAGAATGGATTCAAGATGTACTCAAAATTAATACGTTAAAAGATGTATTATCATCTTTATTCTGATTCATCAAGAGTCTCTCTTTTTTCTAAAGCTCTCCATTTCAAGGGATGGTAGAGACTTTGGATCCAACAATGAAGTCAATTAATTAATGTGACACGGTATTATTAATCCATTGTTACACGTTGATTCAAAAATTATAATTCATTACTGCTATATGAAATTTTAAGAGTGTTACTTACGGTCTTAACATAGCTTATTTTCAGTACAGAGTCACTTTTCGGACGTTTTTTGCTTAAGCAACATGAACTTTCTTATTGAGACAAAAATTTCAAAACTATGTAACTTACTATCGAAATTCTGAATTATAATAAAACCATCAGCATATATACGTTGAGAACCAGGATGTTATCATTATCATCATCAAGATGAATGTAAGAGCATGGCCAATCATTATCAAGTAGGATAATGATGTCCACCAAGATGTTCATTGCCTTTAAAACGATCTCATTGGTCAGTTGATCTCTGTAATTGATTTGATTGGTCCTCAACACACTATGCGGAAGTAGACTCAAAGAAAGTCTCATGGCAAAAAGTCTAATGGCCTTCTAAAAAGAAGCTTATAGCAGGCCATGAATTCTCGGGATATACATTCATTATAATCGATGATGACACTGGCGGATCCAGAAATGGGCCCAAATTTTGAAATAAAAGGCCCATTTTTGATAATAAGGCATAAAAAGGCCCAAAATTCCAAGTAATGTCCCAAAAAAAGACCCATTAATTGAGGCTCTACTACATTTCTGGACCCACTCAAGGGGGGGAGGCGAACCCCAAGTCCCCCTCCCTGGATCCGCAAGTGTATGCTGACTGTTTTGATTTCAGGATCTGATTGGCAATATACCGTAGTCGGAAGTACTTGGACAACTTACTTTGATTGGGGTTTAAACTTTGGTTGGCAGGATATATCAGACAGGAGGAAAGAAGCGAGAGACGACCCGACGGCACCAATTAGGTAATAATTTTAGCGCATAAAATATATAAAATATCTATAAGAAAACCATATTTGATAAGCATAACGTGTAAGGAGATATTAGATATGGCTAATGAGTACCCGATTAATAATTTGCTGAAAACTCTATCAGGTTGTTTATGTATTAATCTTGATTCCCCCTATAATAGCATTAATATTGATTAATGGGCACATACTCTTTCACACGGCAAGGTGTGTCCAATTCCAGCCAAACAGAACATGCTATTTCACGTAACTGCATTCCGTTATATAACCAATAACACATTTTTTGTAAGGTTGTCAATGTGATAACTGGACCCCGTGGTTGAAATTGATGTTTTGAAAACTTGACGTATGCAAAAGTTACATGAAAAATATGTTATTTTAGTGATTTTCGGTGATTTATTTTATAGAAAATATTTTGCAATGTATGAAAATAATTTAAGCCAAGAACGTAATGCATCGTGGCTGCTTCATTCCACCCAGGCGTTGTTTCCTTGACTATGCATCCCCGCTGCGCGACCATGATTTCGAAACAACACCTTCAATGGAGTGATTCAACATACAATGTACCATGGGCTTTCAACTAGAATTGAAAGCCCATGAATGTACTGAGTCCAGGGCTTAAATCCTTAAATCATACTTTAATCAATAAATATATTCATTTTTATACTCCCTATCGGTAGCATTAGCATGCATTAATAATTTGCAGCTGAATACTCCAGTGTGATATTTTGATAAATGTTTCCGTCATGCACCCCTTACACGAGATATATATCAATAATTTAACAAATACTGGATCATCTTACTTAACAAAATATGTGATCATCATGATATCCTTAATAGTGCTTTGGTTTTATTATTCATTTTTTATTCATTTATTTTATATGTTCGATTAATTTTAAGTCAACTGACACTGTATGCGCATATGTGTAAATTGTATAATGTAAGAAATGAACGATTATAATATTTATTCATAGAAAGGGCTTGATCGGTTTTGTAGGTCAGCTGTAAATCTAGGATGCAACGTGGCGATCAGCAGGAAGTTCTTCGAGTCTCTTGGTTGGTTTGACGAGCGACTTCAGTTTTGGGGAGGAGAAAACATAGAATTATCAATCAAGGTAAATAATGAGTTGATGGCCTTCAAAACGTTACTCTTTTAGCAACATCCCCAAACTAATTTATGGAAATTATCGCTTAATTGATCAGCGATATTAAGTCAGCTTCTATGGTCCCTTTGGATCACGGGCTTATGTTTATATTTAATAATATATTTTAACAAATTCAAAATGTGCCATATTAGGCCTTACTAAGCGACAGACACATACGAATTAAAGCACACTATTAGTATGTGGCTTATTTATCAATATACAACCCTATCAAATAAAAACTAAATTGACAAAAAGGCCAGTGACATATCCTGGTCTCATTGTATGGAATTGATTGTAAGTTAAATTTTAAACACGTAAAACGTTAAGTACATTTAAACAATGCATAAAATGACCTCATTTTAGTATGTACGTCTTGAACTTCAAAGAATATTGAAATTTATTGCAATTTTTATGCCTCCATAACATTTAATAATGTCGCTGATACGCCCGCTTAATTTTAGTGAGTTCCATGCAAATAGAATAGTAATGGAAATGATAATCGTATCGTTAATATTCCATATTATAAAGTAAAATTATAAAAAAGAAATAATTTTTTTTAGATAAAACGGTGGAGAACTTTTGGATCAACCCTCGTATAACTATGTGTGTCATTATTTTGGTGTGGATTTCAGGTGTGGATGTGTGGTGGAAAGGTTGTAAACATGCCTTGCTCACATATAGCACACATGGAACGCCCACATCAACGAACTTACAGAAATGACAAGAATGATATCATTCAAAATAATTACAAAATGATAGCAGAAAAATGGTTTCCCAGTCAATACAAAGATTTGTTTTATTCTTACTATCCGAAATTGAAGGTAAGCATACACATGATACAGTTATCGATCTAATCATGATATAATAAAACACTTTGATAATATTATACAAATATTTAATTTTATTGAGGTGAATACCTGTGCATCTTTCACAAGTGATGTTCCACGAAGCTCGAAGGGCTAGTGGAATATCATCTTGTGAAAGTGTCACAGGTATTCACCGAAAATAGAATTAAATATTTGTTTTATTATATCACTGTCATAACATCTTCTATAATTAAATAAGTCATTATTATGTTAACATTGAAATACATTTATATTTCTTCAATTTTTCATTCAATGTCGATTTTGATACGTTTTCCAAATCAATCACATCGTCTTTGCTAGATATCCTATTTTGAAAGATCTTCACTGATCTTTTTGTTGCCTTTATTGTGTTATCTGAATGAATATTCCCGTGGATTCTATCAATTTCTTCTGCAGAAATATTTGGAAACCTTTGTTTACCGTCTGCCATTTTGGTTATTATGGGATATATAAAATGAAAATTACACTGGATTAAGTCAACCCCGTGGATGTATAAGTCATGGCCGTTGAATATCATTTGATATTCACCGGAAGTCACGTGACTTCCGTTGAATATCGCTAGTTATTTTTTAGTCACGTGTAGGACATGGACCAATAAGAGAGTGAGGAATATGACAATGATATAATAAAATATAATATGTAGTATTTAATTCAAATAAGATGTGTTCGCGAGTATATTAATATGGAAGAACTCCCTTTTTATTTTCATGAGTTTCTTTTAGGCAGTTCTACCGATTGGAGAAACCAATTATTCTTTAGATACGAGACAATCACTGGAGAGACAAACCGATCTAAGATGCAATACAGACTTTGAGATATTTTTAAATAAAGCCATTCCAGAACTAGGTGTTCCATTTAAAGAAATTGCATGGGGCACTGTAAGTATGGGCTGAATAATACAATGTACATTGTCAATAAGTATCGGAACTATTTTATTGAACAACTTTTCAGATAATTGTCATTTTGAATATTTCTATACTGTATATGTTGAATCCTCATTTAGGACTTTGTAGTCCGTTTCGCATTTCAGACTTTCAGACTTTCCCTTTTTATAACTTTATCATTTTTTCATTCATGACACAGGTGTGTACGTACTGTATTTATTCAAAATACTTTTAGGTTCGACTAGTCGACCAGACACAGCCCATTTGTCTCCATTTTGATGGCAAATATACACCGGTCATCGCTTCACTTTGCTCCGAGCACAACACCCTTAGTCAGGTAACACACCCGTATAATATGTTACTGTGATACTTAAACAGTGAATATTGTTTTACATATGCATACAATCGTGATGCAATTTTGAATGTTTCATTTATTATGTTCCTATGATAGTTTATCTGCTTTAAGACAAGACGGGAAAAACGTTCTGAACATATTGATATAGTTCATATAGTAAACTTATTAATTTTACGAATGAGGTTATTATTAAATAATGTTAACCGACAGGGCTTATTTTGGTCGAAAGATGGCACAATACGCACTCCAATATTAAGCATGGAGGTTTCGAGAGATGGTGTTGAAATGGTAGAATCATTTACTCATCATGGAACAGAGGACATCACCAAATGGGCACATGTCAGGGTATGTATTTTTCAAATTTCAACTATATAGTGTAAATCCTGTCTAATCTTCACGCCAATGGGAACAGCTAACACTTTTTGGATCATCAGGTGCTCACATTGCAAGGTTAATTATATTATAATTCCGTCAATAAGAGTCTAATAAGATACGTTTCTAAATAGCTGAAGAATGAATGAAAACCAGTGCTGCCATCTTTTATTCAGATTTTTTCTTGACATTCATATTAAGATCTTTGAAAAGTGACTGTATTTCATAATTTATCAAACCGTATTGCATATATCTGTTTTAAAACTTGATTGATATGAGATAAGGGATGACCCCCTTGACATACTTATTGTCATTTATCATCAGAATTTGGGGTGTTAAACTAATAAACCGAGGTTATTAGAGAATTTAAACATTGCATCAATGGAGATTTGGACCAAGTTTTTTTAAGTCATGGAAATGATTTAAATAACATAACTGTATAAATAAAAGTTATTCTCGTAGAAAACAGTTCACTGAATTCAAATATGCTATTTAAAAGAAGGCAATGTAAGTCATTAGAGGTCTAATATGCAAATATTAGGTGCAAATAGTTTGTGTATAATGTCATGACAAAATATTTCTTTTGTGTACTAGCCAACAAGTATTTTACTCAAAAATAGTTTTAAACGTGGTCATTTTTGATGTCATTGTATATATTTCATTGTAGGATGGCTCGATAATGGATTTGAAATCGGGAAAGTGTCTACAACTAGTCAAAAATAACAAAATAAGACTAACAAAGTGCAAACAAAAATACAGCAAACAAAAATGGACTTTTCAACACTATGGTGAAGAATACCCAGCTTTTTACAAAAGCACGAAGAAGAAAACTTTTCAAGAAATAAGAACACTGTTTGTAAATGTATTCGATAGATCCTATGAAAATAAAACTACAAACAATGATTATCGATGAATAATTTTAGTTGTAATTTTTAGTTTATCGTGTTGATTACAAAAATACAGAGCAAGTTAGAGTATCTTTGTTATCATATAGATTGTTAGACGGAATGTTCCTCATACATCAGCCTTTGCGAATCGTCTTGGAATTTCCCCATTCTCCCTCAATGCATCGATCTGTTCTTTGTCAGAACAAAGATCACACACCACGATCTAAATAATATTATTTTTTATAAATTCAACAAACCACATACAACATACATCTTTGTCATCATTACGACATTAAATACGCTAGGATATATTGGTCTGCTTCATGATGTCATAGATATAAGGTAGATCTATAAATATCAACTCCAAAATTCTAAGAACAATTTAAATTACCAATATATGTGAATCCTGTTTCGAATGTAAAATGTGCTACCTTTAAGCCATATTATGACCAGTCATAATACGGGCAACAAAATGCAATTAGCCGAGTACGTCTGTGTAAAATATAATCTCACCTCGTCGATATTTCCCTCGAGGCCCTCACCGATGAGCATTGGGCTTTTACTTAATCGAATCGTTGGTTCTGGATCTGCATTTTCTCTGAACACATCTTTAATATAGAACAATTTGAATGTTAAAAATGTTCATCTTAACTAGGTCCTGAGCAACATTTTTATTTCCTTCATTTTTATCAATTAGATCTTCATGTTCTCATATTCTGTTGGAAAACAGTAGCGTAACATGTGCATAAATTTAAAAGAAAGGTTTTGCACAACGGGTTATAGGTAAAATGTATCCGCAACCGCATTTTGAATATTTTGAATGTGTTACGGATTTTATATGCATTGGTTTAAAAACGTTTTGCTAAACCTCTAAATGAGTTAACGTAGATAAGTAACAAGCACCACTGTACCACCGCTAGTTACTTTTACGTAACAAAATGGATGAACTTCCTGGTTACGAGTTTTTTGTTTTTTCGATTTAAACCTACTCATAAGTCAAGTTGCAGATTATCATTTAGGACAGAGCTAGAAAATATAGTCTAGTTTTAATAAGTTTCTTCGATTTGGAAATTGTTTTGTAAAATAAGTTGCAATTCATATATTTAGCCCCTCGCTTTTGTTACATTGACGAAAGTCCGTTGCCGATGTATGTTACTTTGACGACTTATGTCAATGTAACAGAAGCGATGGTCTTAATGCATGAATTACAGCTTTATTAAAAAATCAACTTCCAAACCGACAGCAATTCTAAAAGTAGAGTACATTATCTAACTTTGTGCTAAATCATTATCCGCAACATGACGTATAAGTTTTAATCGAGAAAACAAAAAAAACTCGTAAGTAACTAGTTTTGGAACAGTGATACATAAAGTTAAAGGCTGGTGCTTTGATATACTGCGCTATTTACCTCTCTTGACACGGAAATTAGCCGTGAGCTCCTCGGCCTCCTCCAGTCTTCTATCGAGCACTTTGTACCTATATTCATTACATCAAGATGTCACTCCGGTAAATAGCATTTCCGGGAAGGACAGTGTATCTAAATTCTTTAAAAACGAAGCTATGCGAAATCAAATGGTGTGTGTACGTTTAAGTGTAAATACAGTGGCCATTTCAGGTATGTATGTAAAGCCGAAGGCAAGCACTTTCTAAATGTACCATTCTTGGAAAAAATGCAATAATATACTCCCGTAAATTGGAACTTCTTTATTTTTTAATTGTCCTCGGTGAAGAAGGAATTTTACCTAAAAATGAGACCCTATGTTGGCGTGGCGATATTTAAAAAATTGAGACGCAAAGCCTATGTTTAATATAGTGTCAAGATGAAGGTTATATAGCGGAACAAAGAAATATAGTCAGTGTATGGGCTAATTCGCTCGTAAATGGCGATTTGTACCCCGGAACTTGAATTTTGTGTATCTTTCAACATTATTTAATGAATTACCGTAGTGACACCCCAAAGTCGTAATTTACATGAATGTCACTCTTAGCTTGTATTTGCGAATGCAACTTTCGATCGCCGGCAACCGAATTAACCTATTATTTTATGGGTAACCCATTAAAATATGACTATTACCTGCCAGTGTTCCATTCATACTTAAATGATAAATTTAAATTCAGATACTTAAACTATTCAAATAGTAGGTTAATCCGGTACCCGACAGATGAAAGTTTCATTCATGATTAAGGCTTACTCATTATAAATCTCATTTTAAATCCATTATGTCGAGAGAAGTGTAATCTTCCCTGAAAATAGAAACAATAACAAGCAAGGAAAAAATATACAATTTTTAAAGATGTACCTGTATTCACCCTCTCTCTCTGAATCATCTTGAGATGGATCTTCGTCTTCAAAACGTGACTTCAGTTTTGTCAGTGTGACATGAAGTTGCACGAAACATTCTCTTGACTCGGCTACAATAAGATTCATCCGATTTTATACGCCGCTGTTTGCTTGAACTCTTGAGCAAACTATTGTGAGATTGCTTTTGATCATATTCATTAAGCATGACTTTTCCGAAATAGTTTAGAAATAACAATTAGAGCAAGACTGGCAAAGTTGCAAAAGTTAGTTGTTTGTTATGATAGGGGAAATTTACGTTTAAAGTTTTTTTGGATGAAACTAAAATAATTTTGGATAGAGGGTCATTCACATAATGAACAAGTTCAAAAATAGTAAATCTATAAAATATATGGTGTAACAGCTTATTGATATGTCCCTTGATAACTAAGTGACATATGCAGAAGTAGTTACCCATCTGATTCTGGACTTAAACGTTATTTTAATTTTCCGACGCAAATTGAGTGCAGCATTACCTTGAAGTGCATCGGCGAATTTGTCGTCGTGGATGTAATTCTTTGTCACTTCGAGCACAGCACAAAGTTTTTCCACAATATTTCTAAAGTTTCTTAAATGTGTTTTTAATGTACGTATTGACTGATTTACAGAATTCTTTCTTGCCAGAGTACGTGTATTCGGTTTGTCACGGAATTCTAGATATCGTTCCGTGAACAGTCTTACGTTTCTACGGAAACTAGACGTTAAAAACCGTGAAATGTACTCGGAGGAATTACCGAGAGCAAAAGTAACATTTTCGATATGTTCAACGAATGTATCTTTGTCAGCGTTTGAAATGATGTTAAACTCCCACTCGCATGCAGCATATACACTGGCCGCATCATTTGCTGCTCGGAACAGACGTTTTGTTTCAAGGTCAGGCATAGCAACTGAAATCAAAATAGGAAATACTATAATAAATGTAATTCATTATTTTCATGATACCAATTACTTTGTCGGCATGCGATTACATCAGCAGGTTAAAATATAAAATATCAATTTTGCGAAAGGAGATTGGTCCATAATTCACACTTTGAAAACCGGACATTGACAGTCGCTCACAATACGATGATTTGTATATTTTGAATCTGACAATACTTGAATACATTCGATCACTGCATGCTTAGAATGCTTGTTTTTGAAACCGTTTCTTAGTACTTCCTCCTTTCCAAGTGTTTCCTTGTACGTTTCCGGTTTGTTCTTATCATTTCATAGTTTGTCAAAATGGACAAAGTGATTAAAGGTTGAAATAAGTAACACATTGGATTTTATGATAACAGGAACATATTATCTAGATTATCTAGTATCTAGATTCATTCATTTGCAAGTAGATCTAGCATTTAATTAGGGTTATACTCCTTGCCCAATTTCCGGGTCAGATGATGAAACATTCCTATAACCAGATATAACGGTGTCTCATCATTTGATTGAATACAGTTGTAGGTATACATTCTTTCAGTCTGGTCATGGACCATTGTACTTTGTTTGAACATGAGAAACATAAAATATTTTGTTTATTGTACCTTCTTCCGCTACTTCTTCAAAATTCTCCCCCACATAAAGTGTAACAATAGGGATCTCGTTTCTACCCTCGGCCTGTGACACACATGCAGTCAGTGCTATGAAAGTCCAACCTTGGAACAGCTGAAAAATCAAGAATTGAAGATTGCAAAACATTTGCATCTAAACTAGCAACGAGCAACATGAATTATTTAGAATTAACTAAAATTACTATGCAGAACGATAAAAACACAAAACGAGCACGCAATTCCACTTAGTATTCCACAGAAGCTAAAACGTTCCTTGTCAAATAGATTTCGGTAAAGGCCATCAGTCATTCGAACGACCGACTCATTTGAAATGAAAATATCACTGAATAGACCTTTGCGTAATTTGCATAATGCTAAACTGAGAAAAGAAACATTAAATGACGATACTCCTCTACTTACACGCGTATTGGTTATCTGCATCATTATGTCCTCAGTTCTATCACACACTCTTATACCCCCTGTAATAAACATCTTTGGAGCGTTCCCTTCTTTAATTGTGAAAATCTCGATGCTAACACTTGCGCCTGAGCCACCGAGGCCACCGTTATGTATTAGCGTCTGGTTAATTTCATTTGAGTTAATTTTAACCCAGAACGATAGGGTCAGCGTTTTGCGGAAGTCCATTCCAGCAAATCGGGGTATAATGAACTTTGCCTCTGCACCAGTCCATACAGCCATTTTCTCAGGTCCAGCAGGCGCCCCTCTATTTCTTGAGTCGCCTGCCTTATTGACACCAAACGCTTTGGCGAAGACACCACGCTCATCATCCAAGAAATCATTCCTGTTGAACGTCCATCTACTACAATCGGTCTGGTCCTCTGAAACAAGAGAACTATGTATACCTTCAAACATTCTAAACATAGTTTGAGATTATTTTAATTGGAACTAATATATTTTACAAATGATGACCAGGCGAGACTTATTAGGTTGAGCTAGTTTGATAAAGGCACTAGTATAGCGGTTTTGTATGATTTTAACTTCATACGTTTAACATATGTATTTGTATAAATCAAAACAAAATGTTTAGATTTACGAATTTTCGATGTACTCATACACTTTCATTAGGACAAAATGGTGAGATTTACGAATTTCCGATGTAATCACACATCTTTGATGAAGATGTATGAATACATTAAAAATTCGTAAATATTAACATTTTGTTTTGTTTTTAACACTTATTAACATATTATATATAAATCAAAATATAGAGATCAAAATGTAAGGTTTTAAGATGTATGGCACTTATGAGAAATAAAGAGATGCTTGAACAAACCTGGTATATCGCCTTCACAACAACAACTCCCCAAGAGGAACTCTTGTCCTGGGGGACAGACTTGCACGTCTCTCTCTCCATTGAATCTATAAGCAGTCCTGTTTATCAAGTCATATATCTTCGGCTTACCATCGCCTTCTAAACAACACTGGGCTGCAATCGTATAATAAACTCAATAATTACATCGATGTCTCCATGGTTTGGATTGATGTGGTTTTACAATATTAACTTATCAACCCCTGATATTGTCCACGTCTGTTGTAAACACTGAAAAGGTGTCATTGTATTCTTGAAGATTTTTTTGTTGTACATACTTTGATAACAATTATACGGGGAAAGGAAACCAACAACGTCCCCAAAGCACGTCAAGAGTACAATACCAGCGACCCCTATTATTGTTTTATTGTAGCAAAATGGCGTTGATGAGAATAAGAAATGATATAATGTTTTTATAAAATTATTTATTTATTGTTTTTAATGACAAAGTGCTCATGAGAGGGCGAATGCGACTCTTAATAACAACTGATCCAAATAGCTAACAATGGCATTTTTCTTGGGTATCAGATCGTCACGATTTAAAAAGTGCCACTTTTATCGTGGAAGCTGCATGATTTTATTCCTTTGACTGATTCACGGCGTCCGGTACACCAAAGTCGTGTAAAACATCATTACGTGGCAATATTTCAATGATTCTAAATCTTAGATTGATACATGATGATGTTATACAGGGTGGTCTAAAAGGTGAACCCTTGCAACAAGATATATATTTCAGTTAAAAGAAGAGATGACTTGGGAGCTTTAGATAAACATTTGGATATTATACTATCAGATTTGAATGAATGAAGTTCATGAAAGCAAGGACACCAACAGTGATACGTGGTTGTGAAGAAAACCCTTAGCTTTCATTGAACTGTATTCTGTGTTTGCAATTAAATATGTTCTTTATTTCAAATGCTGCAACAGTGCCTGGCAATTATGATTATGAATGCTTTTTTTAAAAGTACCTACTGCTATAATCAATATTTGGAGGACAAGGCTCGGGATCCAGTTGTTGAACCACTGAAACAATGGCGTTCAAATATCAATCTATGAAACATACACATTGTTGGTATCATCAAGATTTGGAGGATGTGTGCACATTAATGGTACGGGTATTCTTTATTAGACAAGAACAATATTTCTGAACATTCTAGTATAAAGTATATATCGAAATTTACTCACATCCGCTACATGATTCCACTTGGCAGTCTAAGTAATCGCGTGGGTGAACGCATATACACCAGAACGGATGGAACACAGTTCCGTCCCTACAAGACATTCGCCAGCCGACATTCAAGTTGCAACGAATAAAATGACAACAGTCGCTTTTATCATCCGCTATCAACCCAGTCAATGCACATTTTTCTGGAAAATAATGATATAATTATGGAATAATAGACTGATTTGAGTTGATTTGATTTGAGACACAGTTAACCCATTTAAAGGTATAAGTAATTCATTCAGGGTTTTTAAAGATATCCATTGCGAGTGGCCAACGTTAAGCTGAAAACAATGGATCGCATGAGTTTTCCCTACAGGAAAATAAACTGGAAACTAGTGTGAATTACTTGCTACTTTAAAGGGTTTAACTGTGTGTCAAAACGCAACATATTGATGCAACAAAAGCCAGGGGTAGAAAGGGTTGAAAATCAGGACAATATTTCAGAAACAACACTGGTGGGTTGTTTGCATCTTCTCTGTCTCAAAGTCGAAATTATTTAATCATCTCTACGAGTGCTTTTCCTGGAAGTAATGCAGTGGCCTAACATTGGTTGTGCTTTCCAATGATATCATGAAGAAACAACAGTTCATGTCCACACTAACTTTATATTAGAGCATAATCTTGTTGGTTGGCTGAAAATGTATATATGATGTATGTCCACATATTGCGCTTTGAGGCAACATGCAGGCTTAAACAATAATTAGAGTTCATCAAATAAGCAGGTAAATTGATACCCGGGAGAAAAGAACAACGACTTACCTGTCTGTTCAGAGGACAAAAACATAGCTGCAATAAGAAACAGAAGTCATATATTCTGGATTTTGAAGCCCTGTGATCGGAGGTTGGCAATCACTGACTTTAGTACGTATACGCAAACCTGCACCTGTACAAGTTAGGTATAGCACTGGGGAGGAACTCCGAACTGAATAGCTGTTAGATCTCGAAACTTAAACAAAGAAAGTAAACTTATACATACGTCGCCCAATTTTCTGTCCATCGACTATGGCCACTTTTACCAATAACAAGACAGGCAGGGTGAACTTAAACATCATGGCTGAAAACAGATATAATATATAATTATAATGATCAAGTTGATGTAATGCACAAATATTTTCAAATATGTTGAAATCGTTATAGTCTAACATTAATAAGCAGCAGAAGTTATGTTGTTGAATATAATATGTCTAATTGATATCTTAATGTCCATGTCGCATTTCCGTACAATTAACCATGTCTGATTAAACTTGAAAATAATTCAAGATTAGATTTTAGAGATATCCAATTAATTCAATTTGCAAATCGAATCGTACAATTTTGAGAAATGAGTTCGAAATATTAAAATTATTATTATCAATGCATGCTGATCGAGAGGAAACTACAGAGCAACAATTTTGAAAATGTTTCCAAAGCTCACCCTCGAATTCTCTATCTATTATGCTATGTCTTGGTGCAAATACAATATAAAATAATAAGATCGACACGTACATATTTACATAAGTACACGAAAAAATAGTCTACCTTTAAATATTGTATGTACATAATGTTCATTTTAAAAGAGCCCAGTTAGACTAATCATAATGTATAAACGAGGTCTCTGATTAAGTGCGATGCACAATTGTAAAATATCACAAAAAAAGTAAGATAATAAGTATGAAATTTGAAAACAGTTATGGCAATCTAAAATACGTAACGAATAAGCCATTCGACCATATGGTCACCACAATTCATGATTCAATTCAGTTTTCTCATTTTAGAAACATCGTGTAAAACAGTGTAACCGACTTTATTTCCTCTACCTCTAATTTTTCTAAAATGTTTTCCTCAATAACAATAGGTCAAATTTTTGAAAAGCGTCATTCCCATTTAAACGAATGGAAAATGGTAGTTCGCTGCAAGTCATATGATAAAATTTTCATCCATCCAAGTTCAAATCAAGTAGAAAATTGTATTTCTCACCCTATCTAACACTCGATGTGTTTCGTCAGGTTGAAAAAACTTGAAATAGCACAGGTGAAAAATGATTTCCAAAATTGACTTTGAAGCTCTGTACATTTAAAGATGATTTCATAAATAGATCTACTGGAATCTGAGCTAGCTCCCCGTGCTAACCCCCTAACCCTTATGCGTGAGACTTTTAAGATATCTATCAGTTGATTTGCCGAAAACTAATACACTTTGACTTCTTATAGTCTTATTCAATTAAGGTCCTTGTTAGTAATTTTGTGTACTGGCATCATTTTATATACAATGATCTTCCAAATGGTGTACTAGGAGATATATGTTGTATAAGCTTCATGGATAATGGTCTTTTCTTTAATTTTGAAAACCCTTAGTTACATAACATGTAAAGCTACTTAGAACTTTATTTCAAGGTTTTAGATATTTTCTTAAATACAATTACAAAACAGAGCAGCTGCGTTACCATCTTGCTTATACTATAGACTAAGTATTATAACAATAACTTATATTATGATCGGAAAATGAATGTTTTCAACCAACCACTTTGTACTGGCAAGTTAATAATTCACATTTTGCCGAAGCTTAATAATTTTATACTATACTGAATATTTCATTTTAAACAATTGTAACTCCTTACCTAAGCCAGGTCGGTATCAAAATGTTACTTTTGACTGCAAATGGGCCTCCTTTGCTTAATGAGTCATGCATATTCGTTTTGGCTAAATATCCCATCATTCAACACATTTCTTAAATCAACCAACCAGCACCGTGGTGTTAGAATACAGATGACACGCATTGTGGGTACAGTCTTCTTCTATTCGTATGATTTAAGTCATGTGACAGACACCTTTGAACCTCGTTCTCGTGTCTGCCTTATTTGTATTGCTTTCCTTTAGACATCTGACAATTTATGACATTGTGCGACGGGACTGGGTCGCACTGGCTATATTTTAAAACCAATGTACATGTACATAGTGAAGTGTACATGTGTATGTACTATATGCATCACGGAAAAGTACACTTATTCAAAAGTTAAAACACTTTCCTAGCAAACACTCTTTGTACTTTTGATACTGTTGAACATTTAGGTCATATAGATTGGATGAAACAGTGACTTAATGTCAACTGACGAGCAGTTAAAGAACATGCGACCTTGTCGTTTCACAGTTTAATCCGATGGCAATCTATGTTTTTTCGAATCATTATTATTTTGAATGAGCGAAAGGTATAGAATTGAATCGCAAAGGGTCGCTGATACTATTCCATTCAATAAACAATTATTATTGGATGTAAATGGTGATGTTTACAAAGTACAAAATTAAAGAGTATCCAAAATTATGAAGGAAGACTATTTTCAAGAAAGCATACCATCAACTCTTAATTTATTCATTTAATCATGTACAAAGATAATATTAGCCCGACTGAGGTCCATATAATAATCCCATTTTTATGTATTTTATTTTCATTTGGAATCGAGTTCAAATGCTTAATATAGCATTGTTCTATATATCAGCTTTTGCAAATCTTCTTGGAATCTCTCCATTAAGCCTGAGGGCATCAATTTGTTCTTTGTCTGCACAAAGATCACATACGACAATCTAAAAACAAAAAGTAAGTTTAAGTTTATCATTAATCAATGATATATTATCACAAGAAAACTATAGGCTGTCTCTGTAGTATCGCATACATTCAGTTCCAAAGTGTATACTATTTAAAGCTAGGGTGTGCAAAACTTTCGGTCGGTCTTGGCCTCGTTTCAGAAACCCAAACGATTCAATAACTGCTATTGTTTGTTATATTCAAAAATGACATATTCAAAAAATCCAGGACATTTGTTGTTTAAATAACATTGAGTTTTTAATTTTGTTAAGATCAAAATCAACTCTTACCTCGTCGATGTTCCCGTCCAGGCCTTCACCAATATTCATTGGACTTTTGCTGAGTCGAATTGTTGGTTCAGGATCTCCGTTCTCCCTGAACACATCTTAAACATATGAAATCCAAGTGTATTCAAGGAAGAATTGTCCGTAAATATCAGCTAGATTATTCTGCTTTTTGTCAATTAATACTATTTTATTTGATGTTAAATAATAGTAAGTTATATTAGGCAATTAAAAATCATTCTGGTGTTCCCACAGGCTTTAAAATGTTAAGAAGCGTTTTCATTTTTTATGAATACCGTTGCTTTTCTCATTCCTTTCCAAACCCGAACAACCTGTCGAGCAGTTGTATATTTGGTCAATTTAGTATGCTTTGTAATTTTATATACCTCTCTTAAATCGGGTATTTTTCAATAGCTCTTCAGCTTCGTCTAACCTTCTGTCTAGTACACTATACCTGCAGATCAAATCAAATAGAAGTTCTTACATTTGACTTTGGAGAAGGGATCTAAGCTTGTGTTGTCCATGATATCATAGGGTTACGATAACAATACGAGACACATCGGGAGAAATATCAGTTATATCATACAGAAGAAAATGTATACTACAGAACAGCCGATATCAGGCAGCAATTAAATTAGCAATAAGTCATTAATTACTGGGACCTTGAAGTAATATTTCGTAAATCAGTTGACGATTTTGATATAAGCATTGCCCGATCGAAATAAAAACACGGGACTTTATATCCATGGTTGTATATTTGTGTATATGAGCGTATTTTCTCTTTTTTCAAACGTTTATCTTTTTCATTCTTTAAATATTTCTTCAAATTTTCAATAACCGGAAGTGGCTAGGTATACCCGCCGGGAGGGGAGATATGGAAGTTCTGGATGTGGAACCTCTAAATCAGTACTATATAGTATACACCCTACCAACTTATCTCCCCAAAACTCTACTGTGGGCGTAGGATAAATATTGATACAATTGCAATGACTAATCAGAGACATTAAAGCATTCTCAGTGATGGTAATTTACTCATTCTGGTTGTTTGATACAATCACACTCATCTTTATTCATTTTCCAATTTTGTACACTGGCTGTCTATTCAATATTCTTGGGTTTCACCATTTGGCATGTGCCTATAAAATTACTAACCTATACTCTCCTTCTCTATCTGGGTCATCCTGCTTCGGGTCCTCATCTTCAAAACGTGACTTCAATTTGGTCAGTTTGACAAAAAGTTGTTCGAAACATTTTCTCGAGTCAGCTGTAATCAGAGAACTCCAATATTTAATCCGTGATAAAATATTCGAACAATTGTTTAAAAATTAATTGTGATATATGATGTCTCAGGTTAGATACAGCAGACCCATCGCCGAAACTACGAGTTTGGAATATTTATACCATCTTCACTGTTATACATAGTTGTCTAGTTACTAAAAGTTGAAACTTTATTTAAGCCTTATTCTTTGGTCTAAGTTTTAATAATATAGGGCAAACAATTATTACTTCCGATAAAATTGGAAGACCAATTTGAATCTGTAACTTCCACATAGGATACCTTAATTTAAGAAAATGCAAGAAGGATTGCAAGTATCTAGTCTGATGTAGTTTTAGGTTCTTACGGCGAACGTATTAATGACATTCTCTAAAGTATGGCGCCAAATGTTTCGTTCTGAGTTGTTATTTCGGGTGATTTGAAATAATATATTTACGTGTTTCATCGTTTAATATGCAAACAGTATAAGAAGATGGTATAATACCATAGTACTTAACTTTGCTATTATCGGAGTATACGACAGGGATCACAATGTTTGGGGCAAATAGACTTGACACGTTGAAAGTAATTTATATTATTTCAGTTATTTTCAGTTACAGTAGTGTACCTTTCAGTGAATCAGCGAAGTCTTCGTCGTAGATGTAATCTTTTGTCACTTGTAACACTTCGGAAAGCTTTTCCACGATATTCCTAAAATTTCTGAGTTGTGCTCTCAATGTTCGGATAGCCTGGTTGGCAGAATTTTTCCTTGCCAGGGTACGTGTATTTGGTTTGTCTCGGAACTCAAGATAACGATTTCTGAAGACGTTTACATTCCTCAGATAACTATTTATCAGAAATCTGTTAATGTATTCCGAGGAATTCCCCAGAGCAAATGTTACGTTTTCTATATGTTCAAGGAATGTGTTTTTCTCAGAGTTTGTAATGATTTTGTTGTCATATTCCCAATCGCAAGCAGCATACACACTCGCCGCGTCATTTGCAGCACGGAATAAACGTTTTGTTTCAGCATCATTTAGACGTTCTAGAAATACACAGCGACTATATATACATGGTGGTCCAAAAGAGTGAACCCCTGCAACAGTCTACATTTTTCTTAATACATGCATGAATTGGCTCACATTATCACATGTTATAGAAAAAGGTCTTACATTTTGGTTGATGCCATAATTTATTCTCAGTCTTAAATTTTGAAGAAATTACAAGCGTTTAACAAACATGCCTGGAAATTAGATATTGTACAAAATTTTACAAATGTGATTCACGGAAATTGTTGGAACACATTGGATGATCTTAAACAGCTTTCAGTTAGAGATACAAGTTTAAAACCCAACTATATGATAAAAGGGACACTATTCAAGCAGGAAACACATTTCACACTTTCATTGATCATTTTGAAGCATTTTTAACGGTTCAATAGTTCAGGGGTATGTTACCTACACCAACAGTTAGAGAGGGGGGGGGCTCTTATGGAAGGAAGTTGCCCCCTGTGTCCAGGAATCTGATAACCCCTTCATCAAATATCTTTAAAAAATCATAAGAAAATCCAATATTTAATGTTTTGAGCCATATATCATTAGAATTGGTCCATGATTTATGAAGATATTGACATTTTAAGATCATATAGGGGTGTGTTCATGATTTCACAGGAAAATGTTTTCGTCTGTGGAAGCTAAGCACATCTCTTTGGATCACAATAACTTTGGAACTAACAAATGTAGGATGTTAGTTCTCAGCCATAATGTGCAGGGTTTAAAATTGAACAAAGTCAGAAAATATTAGTTAGTCACTTTTTTGGACCACCCTATAATTCTTACACTCTGTAATGAAAAAAGGTGCATTGTCCTTTACAAATCATATCTTTTTATTTTTTTTATTTTTGTTCTGAGACATGAAGTTAAATTGTTAGTTACTAGAGTAATACACTATTTTAAAAAGCCTTGAATCCAATAAAATTTTGTGAAAAATATCATTCAGTTATAGAATGTAAGTCCGATTAATTACAACCATTTTGTGATAGAATTTGACGTAATATCCTTCAGATTCAGAGGTCTCTTCTTAGTTCAAAATTAGGGGTATGAGTGACATATATTGTAATAAACTTGAAATTGTAATAAGATAATTGTAACCCTTAATCTTTTTCAATGACCAATAACTATGTTATATCCTATACTTAGCTTATGTATACCAAAATTTATGTCACATGTGATATATAAATGTGTTTATTGAGCAAAAGGGTTACACCTTATCCCTATTTTCACTGCTATTTAAGGCGTAAAATTGTCTAAAAATCATGTTTTAGCACCTCCATAATTTTAGTGTGTCAATGTTTATTTCAAAGCATATGACATATAGTAAATGATATCCTAGGGTTATGGGATAATTATACACTGCAAAATAACAAAGTGTAATTTATGACGTAATTTTAAGGAAAATGTCACACTAGTGAGTTTGTGGGACGATGGTTTTAACCATTACTAACTTTTTTAAATTTTCATCCACTTTTTTAAAATGTGGAGGGAAATTAGCGCAACAGATTTCGGACAGTCATATGTTGGATTTTGGCCTTATTTATGATTTTCTGAGGATTTAAACAGGTGCATATATGTTAGGCAAATGCATTACCTCCAAGAAAAGCACTTCTAGATATGATAAAATAATTTCGACTTTGAGACAGGGTGGATGCAAACAACCCACCAACATGTTTTTTCTGAAATGTTTTCCTGATTTTCAACCCCTTCCTTCCCTCCTTTTTTAATTTTTCTTGCTTCAATATGCTGCGTTTTGACACACAGCTACAGGTAACTCCTTTAAAAGAATAAGTGATTCCTTTGAGGTAAAGTGGAAACAGTATTTACCATGTTATTTTCCCATAGGGAAAACTAATGCAACCCATTGCTTTCAGCTAATTTTGGTCACCCATGATGGATATTTTCAACCCTTTCACGACGATAGGCTCCACATGGAGCCCTATTATGTAATACCCTTCAGGACAATAGGCTCATTTGGCACCATTATTTTTTATTAATATACATCAAAGAATGACAATATCTCCAGTTCTATTGAATATTTTTCCACCAAATTTTGACAAGTTGTTCTAATTTGATAACTCTTACTAGAAATTGTATTTCGGTCATATATTTTAAGGTATATGTCCCGAGGCGGAAGTAATTTGCAGTTATCGCCTCAAAACTGCTCTTACTTATCCGTAACGAGGGCCAACATTTTCCTCTTATATTCACGTAGGGAAAGGGTTAAAACCCCTGAAGGAATCACTAATTCCTTTAAAGTGGTTAAATGTATGTCAGAACTCAACATATCGATACAACAAAAATTGAAAATCAGGGATGGAAGGGGTTTAAAATCAGAACAACATTTCAGAGGAAACATGTGGGTGGGTTGTTTGAATCTCCCCTGTCTCAAAGTCGAAATTATTGAATCATCTCTTGATCTAATATACACACCTGTTTAAATCCTCAAGGAATAGCCACAATCCAACATATGACTGTCCGAAACCTGTTGCGATACTTTCCCTCCTTCTTTCTACCATTTATTCACAATATATATGCCATGGGCCTCCAAGAGTTTAGCAATTTTATACAATCTCTTGAAAATGTTATGACTGATAAAAATACCATGCACCGTTTTTCTTTACCACTGGTGATCCACTCGATTACGCTGGTTACCAAAATGGTTCGTTTTGGTAACAAAATGTCGGAACATCGAAGGTACGATTTTTCTTTTTTCCTTATTTCACACGTTGTAGGCAGAATTCCTACGACATTTTTAACACAAACGTGTATCAGTATCACAATCGTCGATTTAATTCCTCACTTAAGTTACACTTAAGATCTGCACTTTTAACCCAAACCGTTTATGTAACTTAAGTGAGGAATTAAATCGACGATTCTGTTGTCTTCTGAGCTATTTTTTCGCAAACATGTACATTTTCGAAAACATATGATGCTGATATACGTTTCTGAGAAAAAACGTCGTAGGAATTCTGCCTACAACGCGTGAAATAAGGAAAAAAGAAAAATCGTACCTTCGACGTTCCGACATTTTGTTACCAAAACGAACCGTTTCGGTTACTAGCGTAATCGAGCGGATCACCAGTGTTTACAGAGGGTATATTAATTCAGATCTGCACTGGAAAACAAACCCTTAGCATAGATGGATAAGCGATAATTATATTCTTGATACATGTAGTCAATACCTTCACTTAGTAAACGTAAAGGCACGATTTCCTCTATTAATTTGGCACGGAAGTTTTCATCAGATGGTATATAAAGTCCAAGTTATGTCTGAACCTTAATTTTGTATCTAAAATACGATAAAATGTCCCAATAACCCTAAATCGTATGTCGTTCCATTCGACACATTCTAATTTTTACCATATGCATGAATCTTTGAAAGCTTCTTCATTTGGTCAAAATATACACATTTTATATAGACAAGAACATCTGAATGTTTGGTATGATAATACAGAAAACGGTTGATCAAACACCATTCACACCATTTACAGAAAGTATTCGATAGAAAACATCACTTTTCTTTTATTTTACCTTCTTCATTGGCAGAATCTTCGTCATCGTCCACATAAAGAGTAACTACGGGGATTTCGTCTCTACCTTCAGCCTGCGACACGCATGCGGTCAGGGCAATAAACGTCCACGTTTTGAATAGCTGGAAAATAATAAATCAGAAATATTAGACTTAAAGATGCATTATGACATATACACCCCCCTCCATAAGTTTGGCAACCTTTTTTCTCCATTGAACTACGTGCTAAAGCCTCTTTACGTGTGATTTTTTATTTACTTAACCGGCGATGAAATATCTTATGATATTAATGGAAACGTAATTTGACTTTATTTCCAATACTTCCAAATTTTTTCAATTTTTTTCCTCAATTACAATGGGTCGAAAATTGATGATAAATTTGATGAATTTTTGAAAATCGTCATTCCCATGTAATCCAATGGGAAATGGAGGGTTCGGGGCAAATCAGAAATCAGGATATCATTTCAGTAAAAGATTCAGCAAAAAATATTTTCATATAGAAAATTGAATTGTCTAACTTTTTTGAACACTAAGTGTTTAGTTTATTTGATGAATATTAAAGTTACAGCGCTTCAAAGTCATTTTTGAAAATAATTTTTCGCCTCCTGTGTTATTTCAATTGGAGAGGTTTTTTGAAAAACAATTTTGACTTTAAAGCCCTATAACTTTGTTGAACCTGAAGAAACATATCAATTTTTTTGTTAAATAAAGTTAGCAAATTCAATTACCTGCCTAACTCGTATTTTTGCAAGGACTCGGATGGATGAATATTCTGTCTTTACTTGCGGCAAACCTACCATTTCCCATTGGTTAACATGGAAATGTCGATTTTCAAAAATTCATCAAATTCATCATCAATTTTCGACCTACTGTAATTGAGGAAAAAAATTGAGAAAATTTGGAGGTATTAGAATTAAAGTCAAATTACGTTTCCATCAATAGTTTAAGTATTTTCATCGCAGGTTAAGTAAATAAAAATTCAAAGGTAAAGAGGCTTTAACACGTAGTTCAATGGGGAAAAAGGTTGCCAAACTTATGGAGGGGAGTGTAGGTTTCTCCCCAAGACAATCAATGATGTTATATTGTTATTGCTCATATAATATCTCACATACCATGGACATATCTTGAGAATAACTTTTGAGTACATTATTGCCGAAATATCGGAAATAATCAACAGAACAACCAAACTCAAGAATTAAACACAATCGATTCCTTGGCTAGCGAGGGGAATCCCCATTGAGTCACAAAAGCTCCCACAAGCGCCTTGAACCAAGCAGCCAATCAGGTTCATGATAAACAAATTCAACGACCAATCAGATAACAGGAGGACTTTCCCGATATAATCAAACTTCCGATTGAATTAATTTCTTCGAAAATAATTAGATCGGCCAGCACAATCGCAAAATTAACACTGAAAGAGGGGAACTTGGGACTTCTTCTTTGGTATGTAGATGGGTATATATGTGGTGAAACTCAATATGCAAAAAAGTCCAGAGAGTTCTTTATTGTGCTGTCCTATGGCATAGAGCCTTTTTAAGCATCAGTCACATTTGCTCTCCGGCGGTCGAAGCTACACAAAGTCGATAAAGAAAATCGACATCTGCTTTTCCTTATATTTATGCTGCATATTTCTCTTGATTTTGTTATGGTCGCCGTGCAGTTGCCGTAGATCAAATGTGACGGGAACATCAATTAATTAAATGGTGTCGTCATTGTCGGCAAGAAAAAATTATTACAGGAGTGGTATCGATATGGAGAACTTAATTCAACAATGTTTTTCTCTTAAACCAATCATTTAAAACATTCTGTAAAAAACACGGTATTTTATGTAATGTTGACTGATTGACAACAATTGAATGTGAAAATTATTTAGAAATATTTTATATAAGGCCCTGAGAATTAGATTCTTTGTTTTGCGTCCCCTTGATTGCACGATTTTGAGTAAATCAGAAAAAAACACATCTAAATAGCAACCACAAGGGTCTGAAAGTAACATCGCATTTCGTTCAATCAGAATCAGACGAAATGGCGGATAAATTGATGTGCGTCAAAATTGACAGTGTTATTAATTGATTACTTTGGCATACATTGTGTATTTTCTTATTTTCTCATTTTTACACTTGAATAACACCAGTCCTATATTTAAATATATTGTATAAAATGTAAAGATCTGTGTTTGTATCACTGCAAATTGGTATGCCATCCCTTTTAATGCCCATAAAATGTATACATTTCTCAGCAAACAAGTTTGTGTTTTTTCTTGAGTTTGTGTTTGTTTTCCTTGTACCCTTGCATTATTGGATTTTGCCAGGACGCAAAACAGAGAATCTAATTCTTAAAGCCTAACTGTTTTTTGTTGTTTTTTGTTTTTTTAGTGCAATTGTTTTTGCTCCTTTCTACCAATTCTTGAGAATGAAATAAAATGTCTTTCCGAACCTTGTTGGAACAAAATAGTATATACAACATGTTTTTAGACCTCTCAATATTATAGTTATACAAAGGAATTTTTGGTTGATTTTAAAAAAGTATTCAAAAATTAAAACAAAATCCCCTCAAAATAGATAAAAATCAAGATAAACCTTTTATTTCATTAACAAGATACTTTTTTAAAATCAACCAAAATTCCATGTGTACAATTACAATATTGAGAGACCTAAACATGTTGTGTTCATTTCGTTTTGGTCCAATGAGGTTCGGAATGATGTTTCATTTCACTCTTGAAACATAATACCAAGAACAAAACAAATGTTTGATGTGTTTTCTAAAACAATATAATTGAAAGAATTCATATTTTTCAAATTATATTGTTATCATTTAAAAGATGACCATTAAATTGACGATGTGTAAAATGTTTAGCCTTTTTTTGACTGGTTTAAGAGAAACGTGTGTTCAAAAAGTTCTCCATATCGATACCACTCCTTTTAACACACCGCTTGTTAGTCGATAAAGAGGTAAAGCTAGCTTGTGATCGAAACGAAAACCCGTACGTATCATCTGCCCGTATACAAATGCATGTTGCGTTCTCACATAAATAGCCGTTCGGCTCCAGTGTTTGTTAAGACTACACCATAGCGTGTAATGTAGTATGCCGTTGATGCTATAGCTGGTTTTCTATTACATATTTTAAAGGGCTGGTTTTGTAATTTTTTTGGAGCTCAACCATGCATAACATACATCATCGTCTTCAGAAAGAATTTTACTTTGCATCGTAAAAAAAAGCTGAGAGTATCTGAAGTAGACTAAAGCGCATATAAAACTATGCGCGCTAACTATTCCTTTGTAAATCCATGTACTTTTCGTTCACGGTTACGTTATGAAAAACATTGCAAGCTTAACTTTATATCTTCTTATACTTACATCTGGGTCAGTTATTGGAATCATTATATCTTCCGCTCTATCACACACCCTCACTCCACCAGTTATATACATTTTTGGGGTGTTTGCCTCTGTAACTGTGAAAACCTCAATACTAATACTGGCGTCCGAGCCACCAAGTCCACCGTTATGTATAAGTGTCTGATTTATTTCACTTGAGTCAATTTTTACCCAAAATGACAGGGTCATCGTTTTACGGAAGTCCATCCCAGCGAATCTTGGAACGAGGAAATTTGCATCTGCGCCCGTCCATAAACCGCCTCTGTCGTCGTTCCCCGGACCGTCAAATACTCCTCCATCTTGCTTGACAACACCAAACGCTTTAGCAAAAACGCCGCGTTCATCATCTAAGAAGTCGTCCCTGTTGAAAGTCCATCTACTACAGTCTGTTTGATCCTCTAAAAGAACAAAAGATGGTCGCTGCGCAAATGGTGACATTTTCACTCAAACAACTTTGGGTTGATACTTGAACTTAACAGACCCGACTCATTTGGAAATCTTGTGCCCAATAGGGGTCGAATAAATCGTTGGTCCTTTTGATTGGTTGATGATTATCCTGAGCATGCGTACATTTGATGAGTATTTTTAAAAATGCGAAGTGAGCCTAACTAGTTCCTGTACTTTCCACAACATTTTCCTCAGCACATTGCAAGATTTGCTACGAATGGCGATGGGACTCAAATGCTGTACTCACAACAGATTAGATACAAACCTTAGACAAAGCCTTATTTATCTTGACAATTATATGCACAACTGTAATTTCGAGGAAAGAAAATGCAAATCAAGTCATCCCAACCAGATGAAGGGTTTTCAAAAACTGGGACTTACCAAGTAGAATGATGAACAAAACGAAACGACCAATAATTTTCCCTTGAGTATTACAGAAACATACAACAAATGTTCCTTGCTTAGATGTATTGCGAGAGTTTTCATGCTTCTGGATATGAGAGACATATTTGATTCGTTAATAGAGCAAAGTCCTGCACATCCAATGTATTGTTGACTATCTGAGAGGTGTTTTGAGGAGTTCTAAATTTAAAATCAAAATGATCAGCAAATCAAATATAACAACTATAAACTGCCTTACGGATGCTAAAAATATTTGGCTTTACCCACCTGGAATATCGCCTTCACAACAACAACTCCCTAAGAGGAACTCCTGTCCCGGTGGACAGACTTGGATATCTCTTTCTCCATTGAACCTATAGGCAGTCCTGTTAACTAGGTCATATATCTTTGCCTCGCCATCTCCTTCCAGACAGCATTGTCCTGCAAAGAGGTAATAGTAATGAGGAAGATTGCTAGTCAGAAGCGAATTCGGCTATAAGAAATGGCCGATAGTGAACGTGACATTTTAAGGAATTGTTACGTTTTAGTAACTCTAGAAATTGAATTCCCAGGATCTTCTGGTTTTTTGGTACTCACGACGTTCCTTCCTTTTTATATTCAATACGACATATTTTAATCGTTTCTAGTTTATTTTGATTTCTGATTCTCTGATCTCCAAAACAGATAAAACCATGTGTTTGCGTTAATATAATTAATCGTTCAGCGTATGCGCAGTAAATACAATCTGGTGCCTAAAATTTGAGGCCCTGCAAGTGCATGTTATGCATATAATGATACCTTTGTTTGAGCCCCGATTGGTGCACTTTTACTTCTTTACTTACTTGAGTAATCAAGCTGTGGTGGACACGCTTCTGCCTCTCGCTGGGCAGTCACTGAAATAATAGCGTTAAACAATCGGAAGTACTATTTATAATCTTTCCATGATTTCAGGAGATGTATGCAGAATCATTAAGTGCTCTTTTTGGCACCATATTTGTTTAAGAAAATATGTAAACGTTTGAGAACAAATAGTACACAATACGCCAAATTCATTAATTTGTAACGTAACTTTACGGTTTACATCTACACTTTTAACCGTTTACGTAACACCAGTGAGGAATTATATCGATGATAATGGCGTCAATTGATCTATACGTACGCAAACGCTTATATTTTCTGACCCCCGCCCCCTAACAAATCATGGGAAATCAAATGAAGGCGTATATCATACTGTACATCAATGCACAAATCGTATTGTGTTTATTGAAAAATACTAGCCATGAAATGCATGTGTATAAAAACATCAGTGCTGCGTTTCTGAATCGCCCACAACGGTGGTGCATTGCGTAATAGGTAATGAGATTTCCTACAGGTATCGAGAACATACGCTGGTACCCGACAAGTTTGACACATCGTAATTAGTGGCGTGTAAGTGCACTTTGATGAACTTTTGTTGAAAACGTGTGAGCATGTAATTTGCAACGCCTGGGCTCATTGTTCTTTTTATGATACTTAGGGGGACTACTTATTATATATTATGCACTGCACTTGCCCGCGAGTAGTTCAAAACGCGGCCTAGAATTTACTTACACCCACTGCAGGATTCCAAATCACAGTCCTGGTAATCACGTGGGTGAACACATATACACCAGAACGGATGGAACACAGTCCCGTCCCTACAAGACATCCGCCAACCCACGTTCAAGTTGCAACGAATAAAATGACAGCAGTCGCTTGCATCATCCGCTATCAAACCAGTCAATGCACATTTTTCTGGAAAATAATGTTATGATTAAAGAACAGGCTCGACATCCGTTTCTGAAGAAATAATAGCATGTTTGTAGGTTGTACCAAACAGAACTTACGCTGTCCGTTCGTTAAAATTGTTAAAAACTACGATTGTGATTCCTCATGATTAGCAAGTGTATCTCGAGTACATCAGATTGTTAAAAGTTGTTTCATCGAACACCCAGAAATGACATTAATTAACGTCAATCGAAAAACACGCGCCAAAATGGTAGACAATTGTTATTTCATGGAAATTACGTTTATTTTTGAGCATGAGACATCTTCTTATCTTCTAAGATTTCATTGACATTCGTTTTGCCCTTTTTGAAAACAAAAAGTATGGACAGACAGGAAAGAAATAATTACTTCGCAGGAAATACTTTACTTCCAGCGGACCATGATTCTACACGTTTGCGTTCAAGTTAGAGGTTAAGCAACACTATACTTTGTACAACGTAAACTATGAACAGGAAGGCGCACGCAGGTTTTCCTCAGGGTGTGACGTTATATTGTTCTACTCGTTTCCCGATTTACGTACATCCAATCGTGAAACTTTATCAATTTCGATCGAGATATAGGTCGAATGCATGGATATGTGTGACACAAATCTGTGTATAAATTTAGAACATTTGTGTCCAGTCTAATCAAATATAACTTGAATATTGAGGCATCCATTTCATATGTAAAATCTGATGATTACATGCATGGCAATTTCTTACATATCAACTCATCTTAATTCTAATATACATATTGTGACACTATAGCAATAAAACTATGATTGCTTTAAAGCCATAAAGATATTTTTGCGTCCTATTTTATTTTGTGAGATTTAATATGTCATAGAAAACTGCCAGGCTGCGCAACATTTCCTTTGTTAAACACTTTCCTCAATTTAAACGTAAAAAATAAAAAATAGAACGAAAGGCCGTTAAAAAAAGAAAAAAAATCATTTTGAGGTTTCCGTTTACGTTATGTCTAGAGCGCTCAGCTCACTTTTGTTCATAGTACGTAAACGGGAACTTAAAGGTTTACGTTTGCGGTTCACGTCATAAAAATCGTCTTGCTTAACCATACCTTAATCTGAATCAAGAAAATCAATTCGAAAATCAACTTTTTGGACCTTTTGAAGGTCACTGAAGGTCAACCACAGGATTTCTTAACACAATTTTTTACATAATTAAGTTATATTCAATTTATAAAGTACATCGTTATGTATTATGGAAAAAAGAAAGAAAGATTACCTGTCTGTTCCGAGGTCAAGAACATAGCTGCAATAAAATAAAACAATTTATTTTACCTGTTTCTTATAAGGCTTGCGGCTCATTTTTGTATGGATACGATTGTAAAAAATTCGCAATATTTATCATTATAACTAATCCTAAACTATGATTTTTAAGGACGTGGTAACAATGATACTGCTATCCGGACCAAGTTAGTCTGATTATTGTGTCTTAAAGAAGTGTTGAAAATCAAATGATATTCTTTTTCTGCTACTTTTCAAAATGTTCATAAACTGTTTGGAGCATTTTCCGGGATTCGTGACTTGAATGTATCGTAGTTATCATAGAGTTATTGAAAATTCAGCTTAATTATAGCAATACATACGCCGCCCAATGCTCTGCCCATTCACCACGTTTACCAATAGGATAGTGGAGAGGACAAGCTTGAGATGCATGTCTGAAAGAAAAGTATGTTGGCACACATTTTGAAGGCATTAAATAATTAGAGAATGTATATCAAAGAGTACAGTCAGTCATAAAGGAACAAACTCGAACATTCCATTCAAACATAAAAATGGCGACCAGCACATTATTTGTATCGGAAATACAGGATTTGGCCCTACCCAAGTTCTAAGTATTTCAACAAATAAAAATCAAATGCAGATTAATGCAATTTGATAAGAACGTAAGAAAAAATGAAACGTAATTGGAATTATTTCTGAGATCAGTTGTAACCTAAGGTGCTTATTAATCTACAAATTGCCATGGTGATATAAGAAAAGCATGTAGAATTAGTAATCACAGTTTTCTCGAAATTCCAAATATCTTACCTTAGCCAGGTGTTTATCAGATCACTTTTACAGTTGGCAGCACTTGTCCTCCTTTGTTTAATGAATCATGCATTTGGTATCTAAACTATCCCGCAATTCAACACAAATTTCAATTCAACCAATCGGATGTTCTAAATAAGAGCCAATGAATTATGGATAAAGTGTTCTCCTTTACTTATGATTATGATTAAAGGCCCGCGACCTTAACCTTTGAACCACGTGCTCGTGTCACGTTATTTCTTATAGCTTACTGTTTGACCACAACACGATTTATTGCATGAGGCTAAAGCGCGAGTTATACTTAACATTTGTTAAAACAGTATTTTCATGAAAGTGATATTTTTGTACTAGTGCCTTAAAAAATGTCATAGACGTACCTACGAAGTTTTAAAAAGGACATGTTTTGAAATTTTTATTACAGGATTTCTGTGCAGATTATTAAAATAATTTTAATATTGGAATTATGAAAATTAAAATTACTATCGAGGATTTATTTTGGATAAACAATTTTTATTCAGCGATTTTCATTTCGTGTTTTCTTACATTTGAGTAAAATTATATTACCTATTATCATGGCTATATAGTTTTTACGGTTAATAAATGAGGCATGTCCGAAGAACGCTTTAAAAGTACGAACGAAATTGCCAAAAAGTGTTGAATACTTAAATTGAAAGGATTTTCAATGAGAAAAGCTGGTAAGTAAATCTTTCCAGGCTGCATTGCATTCCACATACATTGTATTTGAATATAAAATAATTACTTGTTATAAATTACTGGTATATATTAAGATCGTTTATGGGGCAGAACATTTGTAGACGTTATGCGTAAACTTAACAATCATTAATACGAACCTGTTAACGATCTGACTTTAATTTCTTTTACGTAGCTTTTGAAGATCTTTATGCAAGCATTATGGAGCTGCCCGGACGAAGAGGTGCTCAAGAATTTTGAACCTGTTCAACATTTCCAGACTAGACACCATTGCGTTCTGTAATAAGGCCATGCGACAACATAAGAAACGAGATACGATGAATTGCGAACGGAATTACTACTCGGGATGTGTAACCACGCTGTGCTGCCGTTGATAGTGTTTGTACACCGGCGAAACTCGGTCGAATTACGTCCTTGCAGAGTTGGCGTTATTCACGAGACGAGGGTGTGATGAGAGCGAGATGAATTGCGTGGGATGTATTAGACGTTTTGGGAACGAAGTGGAACTAGAGTTAACTAGTAATGTTGAACATGGTCGACTGAGAACAATACGTCCATTTTAAGTAGAGCTAACATTGATTTAGACTATTTAGTCTCAAATGTTTAAGAACAATATAAAGATGGTAGTGCAGTAGTTTTTAGCGTTCACACGTAAACAAACTGCGCTTTCATCTTTGATGACAATTCTTTCTGTCACAAGTCTATGCATATACCTTAATTACTTATGGTATGTTTATACTACAGCATATTAAAACATATGTTTTGTGAACATCATCATCAGTTAATTACGTCAGAAAAAATCTCCCTAATATCACACTTTGGACGTACAGAGCTGCGCAATAAATAATGACGTAATCAAACGCTTCGATCATAAGTTATATGTTATACGAGAATAATAAAAATGCTATAACTGTGTTGCGAAATCTCCCTACTATCATTCAAACTTGAATATGATTCTAATATAATATTGACGCAACTGTAATGATTTACCCTACTATAACACCAAATAAGTTATCACTACGTTCTCGAAAACGGGCTTCAACTGTGTACGAACGGACTGGACGTACTTAGAACTGTTTGGGTGTCTATTTACAAACTTCATCGAACGTACTCGAACGGGTAGGTCCTCTAGAACTTAGAACATGCTCAAAATGTTCTCTTGGTCGTCACGTTCTACAATTAGAACGAGTGACAACCTACTAACGACGAGCTGAACGTACTACGAACGGAACCGTCGTACAGGGACGTTTTTACAACGAGTTGAACTGTCTGAGGACGTATTGAGTACGAGGTAGAACTAATTGCAAACGGGTTAAAACGGATTAAGAGCGTATTTATCAACGAGTTAGCAAAAATATAGCTATCACACCAAGCAAGTTGCCACTGCGTTCTTCAAAACTGGTTTTAAACTGTGTGCGAACGGAATGAACGTAGCCGAACGTTCTACGGTCTGTTTACGAACTTCATAGACTTCCCCGGACGGGGGATGTGATTTAGAATTTTTGAATCGATTCAAAATTCGATGGCGACCATACCGTTCTGTAATCAGGTCATGATGACCTTCTAGACTAAGGGACGCGTTATACGACGTTGCACACCGACGTGGTGCGACCTGAACGAACTGCGAATGAGATGGACGTATTGAAGAACGAAGTAACTAATTATTTTAGACATATTTCCCGACCACAGCCAGATTGAGCCCGTAAATGCGTGTAGCTTAACCTCTCTAGTATGTAATCACGCTGACTCGGAACTCCCAAACCACAGTTCAAGTATATTGACGATATATTTAGATTTTCAGGTAGTAAAGATATGGATACATAATTCGACGTTCGACATTCGACGCAAGCATATTCAAAAGTGACATTCCAGAGTTTCCATGTTCAAACCTCATATCTGCGTAATTTGAAAGTTTGTTTTTCTATTTTGGTGTAAATATCAGCGAAATCCGAGGAAAAATATCTCATTAATTGATAATTGTTGTTCTTCGTTTATATACGACTATCCATGATTCATAAGGTTTTGTGTTTTCCACTAAGCGCCATATCCGTTGCAATTGGTAATTCTTGATAATGTATTCTGCTACTGGTAGTAGAGATACATGTATATCGCTCATACGTTAAAGTACAACTTTATTAAGTTAAGTGATATACATGTTCTCCGATTCAATGTTGATATTATTATTATTTAGACTTGTATTAGTAAGTGTTGACATGAGTATTTTATTCAATACACACACGTTCTTTATTCTACATCACATCTACAAGTCTTTCCCACGGACATACATTATCCATGCTGTTTTGCGAATCATCGAATTTGAGGGCTGAAAATAAAAGTACGTGTGATTGATAGTGCGCTTTAGATTGACTTATGAGCTTTGATTTAATGAGCAATTTAATTTCTTTACAGTGAATTTAATCTGACTCTTGTAATCTTCTGCTTGCCTATTTACTAAAATCTTGATATTTAAATCATCGAAACTGGTCCACTGGGATCACGGAGGTCATCCGTCAAACGACATTTCTATTAATCAAACATCTCCGACATCCACTTATCTAAATGTTACGAAGTCTTTATATTAAAACCTAATTTGCAGACAATCCATACGTAGATCTTGTACATGTAATTTTGTATGATACCATACCTCCAGTAAAACATCCGATATACATGTGGACGGGCTATTATGGATAAACTCTGTATCCAAAACTGACCGCACTTATTGCATACCTACTGTACTCAGGTGCTAGGTACATTATACCCCGTAAAGTTCCAAAAATCAAAAATCTACTTAAGGTACGCATTTTCTTAGTCTTAAAAAGTAGTTTTTATGTTTTCGAGATTTTCACACTCATACATTGCTGGAGTAGATCAATGAATTGATATGAAAAATCAAAATAGACAGCATACGTTTGCAATATCATCATTTGAGTAAAACGTAAATTGAGTTTGTTTTTCGGGAGCCAGAAAGGGGTGGATAAAGCGTGTATCCATCCTGGCCCCAGACACAAGCAATAGCTTGCTCGATCGTTGTCTACGTAGAACCCCGAGATTCTACGTAGGGGTTGAAATTCAGAAAAAAACATATGGCCGGGTTGTTTGCATCTTCCTTGTCTTAAAGACGAAATGATTTTATCATCTCTTGAAGTGTTTTTCCTGGAGGAAATGCATTGGTCTAACATATGCACCTGTTAAAAATCCTAAGAAAATAGCCAAAATCCAACATATGCATGTCCGAAATCTGTTGCGATACTTTCCCTCCTCCTTTGCCAAAATATAGGCTGTTTCTTGAATGTTCTATGCCATATAGTGTATAACAGGGCCTGCCATTGACTGCAGTTTATACACCTGGAAAGGAAAAGGGGTTGTACTACTATTGAAGAAACTGTTGAAGTTTTGGTGGGTTCTGTTTTTTTACGAATTGGGTGTATGTATTGACCAAAAGAAATCATTCCGCGATCCAATTTGTTTGTGCCCATTTAACAACCAACACAAGTCAACAATTATTCGTGGATAATAATGGTGCTTTTGCTTGTTACCAAGATATCATCAATATTTTTGCTTTCGATCGAATTTCAAGACAACGTTTTACACTTTCTCATATGCATCGTCTAATAGTATATTATTCAAATACATTTCTGGAATAGTTGATCAAACCGATGAACTTAACCTAGTATCTTGATATATATAATTATTATATCGGGTGTCCCGAAAAAAGAATTCGCTTTTGACAATTGTTTACTCATCAATTGATCACTCAAAGTTGTTGAAATAAAGTAGCCTTTGGGTATCATTAGCAGGTTGTGTAAATATGGAAGAGATTGGTTACATAGTATGTGAGAACTCCATAGAAGTTCTCAATCAATTTGCGTGACCAGTTGCTGAGAAAACACTTGTCAAAAAGCGATTCATTTTTTCGGACACCCGATAAAGTAATTAAACAAACGACACGATCCAACATGAATCCTAAGAGATAATCCATCATTCATTATACTTAACCTTATGTTTATTTATATATTTTACAAGTTTGTTTTTAAATGTTGTAAAGGGCTGATTTATGCATACCAGCATTGTTTCGGGAGGACGATATATTATTAAAACACAAACAATACATCTTGAATACGAGTTTGTTAATTTCCCATGTGTGTAGTTAAGAACTTGACAAAAACATTAGTTAATATATATGGTCATACCTATATTGCCTGATTTATATTTAAATGCATAAAATGTGACACATTGCTTGATTAAGTATACGAATAACTATCCATTGTTTGGATAGTCACACTAGGTTATTAGTATTTTCGTTTCTTCATTGCTCTAAGAGTTAGATTCTAAAGAATT